GCAAAGGCAGGACCCAACAGCAGAATTTGTTTTCTGTCATGATGAGTTCCTCAGTCTGTAAGAATCAACCCGCTATTCAAAAATCGGTTTGAGTCATACCTAAAATAGGCCTATTTAACTTTGGTCAATGCTGTGATAATTGGCCATTAAGCCATATTTTATGGCGCCTTGCAGGTAACCCGACACATGCTCCGCCGACGATTGCTCATCGACATTTACTCCGCAAAACGCGACAATTGCTCCGCGACATTTGCTCCACGACATTTGCTCCGCCGACAATTGCTCCGCCGACATTTGCTCCGCCGACATATGCTCCGCCGACATTTGCTCCGCCGACATTTGCTCTGCCGACAATTACTCCGCCGACAATTGCTCCGCCGACATTTGCTCCGCCGACAATTGCTCCGCCGACAATTGCTCCGCAAAACGCGACAATTGCTCCGGTGACAAATGCTCCTCGAACGACAGTTGCTCCGCCGACATTTGCTCCGCCGACAATTGCTCCGCCGACAATTGCTCCGCAAAACGCGATAATTGCTCCGGTGACATTTGCTCCGCCGACAATTGCTCCGCCAACAGTTGCTCCGCCTGAAGCGACACTTGCTCCGGTGACAATGTTGATGATAATAATAATAACTAGATTTGTAATACTTGTTTTTAACAAGTATAGGTGGGCTGGTCTAACTAAAATTTGAGACAAAATAAAGGGCAAATTTAAGATAGCTTATTGTCTCAGCTACAACATACTCGAAGTTCAGCGTAAACGAAGCTAAAACGACGGAGATATTGCTCGCGAAAGACGGGAATGTAGAATCCAGCTTTGAAAAAAGTCATGTCCCATAGAGACTACAGGCAAAAAGTGAAAAATTGATATTCCTCCTTTAATCGCAAAAATACGTCATGATTCCTTTGTCGAAATGAAAAATCATGTCGATTGCATTTGTAGTGAATTATCTCAGCTAGAACATATCGAAAGTTGGAAGAAAATCAATCAATATTTACAGAGATACAATCAATTTTCCAAAAATATGCTGATGTCATAATATGCAAATTGGAATTTTGAGTTTGGAGGCCATTATGATGACGTCATGAGTTAATTGAGGGTCAAATGAGACAAGAAATCATATTTCCAATTCATACTCTACAAAATATGAAACAAAATTTGGGGTCACCTTTTTTTTTTTAAATCAGACAATAAATTATCTTGAATCTTGAATCCTAAAGAGCTACAATGGATTTTGTATAGGCATGTTTTTGCCCATATATGCTATGTATTACAAGAGCTCGCACGCACGGACGTGTATCTTAAACGGACGCTCACTCCGTTATTAATGGTCAGAAATATGTTAACAAGGTATCAAAATTCAAAATGATTGAGAAAATGTGCCAAATATGATGACAAAGAAAAATTGGCGATTCTTTGTTGCAAAATGCCAGGACGCGCGAAAACACGCGCGCATGCGCGTGTGCGAGCCCACCTAATAATAAAGGCAATTTTAACAAAATTATAAGATGGTCTGTATTAGATACAGCCCACCTGATAAATAAATAAAGGCAATTTTAACAAAATTATAAGGTGGTCTGTATTAGATACAGCCCACCTGATAAATAAATAAAAGCAATTCTAACGAAATGATAAGGTGGTCTGTACGATATACAGCCCACCTGATAAATAAATAAAGGTTATTCTAACGAAATTATAAGGTGGTCTGTACGATACACAGCCCACCTGATAATAAATAAATAAATAAACAAAGGCAATTCTAACGAAATTATAAGGTGGTCTGTACGGTATACAGCCCACCTGATAATTACAAAAATAACATTAGTAACACCACCAACCATAATAATCATTGTTGTCATTATTATTGTGATACTGCTTCTAATACTACTCTTATACATGTACTAGGAAGGAGGGGAAGAGGAAGAATCTTATTGTTTGTTTTTTGTATTATCGAGGTATACAAATCCACAGGGAGGTAAAAGAGGGAAAAGTAAGGCGACGAAGAGGGAGAAAGAGGGAGAGAGAACGAGAGGGGATAGCCTATGGCCCGGGTTCAAATTCAGTTCTCTTTAATTTATTTGACCCAGTACTGATGATCATAATTTTATCTACCATGTGATTGCCATGTGTACATTTGTACGCCACACCGAATAGCACTAGCTCACATTTTGTTATTGTTGTCAAGAACTTATTGGCATGCAGCCAGTAGATTTTCATCATGTGTTTGATCTTGTATTGAAAAAAGATCAAACACATCATCATAATCTACAGAGTGCAACTAAAAATTTCTTAACAACAATTGAAATTTCTTTCAGGAAGCTATAACACTAAAAGGTGTTTTTGATTCAAAGAGCATCGTAGAGACGATGAACAAATAAGAATAATAATACATTCACTTCTATTTTCCCCGCCAAATAATCCGAACAAAAGAATCAACCGAGGGTAATCAACTGTTAAACGAATTTATTATGAGTCCTTGAAAAATGAATTAATACTGCTTGTCAAATATTATTGAAGAACAGCAAAGGCGAACGATAAAGTCGCTACAATTCAGAAATCATTGCTTGCATTGCTTTTCTCTCAAAATTACCGTGAGATATCAAGCTACATAGAACTATGATCGACACAAAAGATATTGTCTTGAAAACAGTCAGAAACATTAGAACTTGAATGAATAAAACATAATGCAAATGAAAAGGACTAGAATGAATAGGACACAAGTTAATTTCTACCATTTAAATCATCCAGTACCAAATACCTGAGCAAAATTCGAACCAGATGCATTTAATGGTAAACTTAAAGACAATGATTCATGACAATTGTCAATTGTCATGAGTTTATCGTCTAGACGTATTGCAAAAGATAATCAGAATAATAATGATCAGAATGATACCTCTACTATAAGGCCTAATTCTACATGTACTATACTACACTACTGCCATTGTAGATTATGCTGATAATACAGATGATAATAATGATATGATAACAATTATAATAATACTATATACTTATACTAATTGTCATCAAAATCATCATGTTCATATTCATCATAATAATAACAATAATAATGATTATAATAATTACAATAATAACTTATCTTAACGATAATAATCATGATAAGGATAATAATCACAATAACAAACATAATAATTACAAAAATAACATTAGTAACACCACCAACCATAATAATCATTGTTGTCATTATTATTGTGATACTGCTTCTATTACTACTCCTACTACATGTACTAGGAAGAAGGAGGGGAAGAGGAAGAATCTTATTGTTTATTTTTTGTATTATCGAGGCATACAAATGCACAGGGAGGTAAGAGAGGGAAAAGTAAGGCGACGAAGAGGGAGAGAGAGGGAGAGAGAACGAGAGGGGGTAGCCTATGGCCCGGGTTCAATTTTAGTTCTCTTTAATTTATTCGACCCAGTACTGATGATCATAATTTTATCTACCATGTGATTGCCATGTGTACGCCACACCGAATAGCACTAGCCCAAAAGATTTTACACACTAATATATATATATAGTAAAGCTACATACACTTAACTGAAGGAAAGAAACCTATAGAAAACGGACTGGATATTATTGAAAATACTATTCTAAACAAGAATGTACTACATGTACTACATTACGTTACAATTTCACGAGAGAAATAGAACTCGAGAGGAGAAGAAAAGAAGAAGTGATGAAAATGAAAGAAGACTAATAGCATTAGAGGAAAGAAAAGAGCTAAGAAGACAAGAAAAGGGTGTAAAAAGGAAAAGGAAGAGCAAGCGAGAGAGAGAGAGAGAGAGATAGCCTTGAGCTTTTGATCGGCTAATGAGTAATAAATGAAACAGATTTTGAGCGGAGTAATTATCTTTCGCCGGAGAACTTGCATAAGGAGCTAAAACTTGATGTTTTTTAAATCAAACATTATGGGGAATAGCAAAAAACGGCTGAGCATTAATTGCACTAATTGCCAGAGGAGCATTCATGTCTTCCACGAGGCCGCACTTTTGGATCAGAGGGCAATTTAATTGTCGGTGGAGCATTGTCTTTTGCGGGGTACTTTTGGGGAGGAGCAACAATTATTGTCGTAGTAGCCTTTGTAATTTTATACGGGGCACTTTTTTTTAGCAGAGCAAATGTGGGCGGAGCAATTGTCGGTGTCACCGGAGCAAGTGTCGCTTCAGGCGGAACAAATGTCGGCGGAGCAATTGTCGGCAGAGCAAATGTCACCGGAGCAATTGTCGCGTTTTGCGGAGCAATTGTCGGCAGAGCAATTGTCGGCGGAGCAACTGTCGTTCGAGGAGCATTTGTTACCGGAGCAATTGTCGGCGGAGCAATTATTGTCGGCGGAGCAAATGTCGGCGGAGCAATTGTCGGCGGAGCAATTGTCGACGGAGCAAATGTTGGCGGAGCAACTGTCGGCGGAGCAACTGTCGCGGAGCAAATGTCGCGGAGCAATTGTCGCGTTTTGCGGAGTAAATGTCGGCGGAGCAATCGTCGGCGGAGCATGTGTCATGGAACCGCCTTGCAGGCCCTTAGCAGCAGAAAAGTTGTCTGGCACGGGCCATTAATTTGCTTCTTGGCATTCATGCATTGATAAAGTTATAATTGTTTTTCAAGTGGTACCTGGTTCTTCTTATTGAATGCATTTTTGAGCCCTCTTTAAATGGTCCAAGGGGCCACGTGCAGCAAAGGGGTCTCGGCATACATCAATGTTTGTCGGCAATTTTGAATAAACAGTCATGTATATATATATATATATATATATATATATATACTAGATTCCTCCTCCCCGAATGTTTCAATACTCAGATATTGGTACCTTGTTCGTTTGATCAAAGGACACTGGGCAACCGGCCGGCTGCCGGGCCATAAACCAAATATAAAGGGAACATCCAACTGGACAATGCCTTAAATTCCTCCCTTTACATGGCCAGTTGTATGAGGTGCAAAACCGACCTAAAAATGCGATAAATGAAAAAGCTGGCTAGCCGGGCTCTGAACGCAGCCAACCGTACTTCATGTTTTTTTCTTCGGCGCAGTCTGTTCAATTCAACTCTCATTGTTCTTGCAGAACGTTGACATAGTGTGTGTTAATATAAAGGTAGCGTGCAAGGACTGAATAAAAACAGCATTGGATCTAGCTGTTGCAGCCTCTCGTCATTTCGAGACGAAAGGCTTCGACAGATCGGACTGTCACTGCATTGACTGGAAGGATGTCTTCACAGTTTTGAGGGACAAGGAGTTTTATTAGACTGTACTCGCCCTCTCACCATTCTCAGTCTTTTCCCGTCCCCTAACTGTTCGTGCAAGCTATTACAGAATACAAGCAACAACAATTCTGTGATCATGATGTGGAAATTTTCGTCGGTCATCCTCGTCGCTATCAGTATCATCCTTGACATCGACGGGGTCATGGGCAACCTTGGTAAGTATTAAATATAGTGTTCGGAATGTATGAGCCTGTCTAACTTTTGTTACAATCTCTCTCTCTTTTTCGGTGGGCTTCTAATTTTATCTTCCGCTTCCAATACTCCATACTATGTGCACGTTTTTGAAAAATACATATGCCCAAGTAAAATTTGATGCTGAAAGCGATGGCACCGACTGATATTCTATTTACAAGAATGTTCCCAAGGTGCTCAAATTTAATGCTTGATTGTGAGGGGCCCACCATTATTTTAAGCATTCCAGAACAAATATTTTGGTTAAAATAAAAACAAAAAGAAGGAGAAAGAGAAAAAGAATGAGAAGAAGAAAAAATGAGGAGAAAGAGAAGAGGAGGAGAAGAAGGAGAAGAAGCGTCAATGAATAATGAAAATGGTCTGCATAAACCAAGCGGTTAGTAAGTATGTCATCTCGACAGAGTCCTCAGATCAGTTTAGACTAAACTCTTTGATGGGTTGGTAAAGTCTGGGATTGGTAACATATACTACGAGTTTCACGGCCAATAGAAAAGGTCCGGTCAAATTGTATAAGCTTATTAAAGATAGAGTTTTAGTTATGGTCATGCGATTGCGTTATGAAAGAAATTCTCTGGAAGTGATTGGAAAAAAGTTGACAGCATGCCATGAGGCTGCATGCACGCTACCGTTATAGTGCTTTGTACATGCCAGCTAACCATTGATTCATTTACTATAAATATTTAATTAGAAAAAACGACACTGGACGATGTGTAGAATGCCAAACGATAGAAACAATTGAGCACTTTTTATTATCATGTCCAAAATATGTTAGACAACGAAGGAGAATGTACAGAGCACTAAAGACCCAAAATCCAAATCTAGGTCACTTACTAGGAAAATGAGGAATATATAGGAAAGGTGGTAGTTTTTTTAAAAGGCAGTGGAAGGTAAAATAAACCTTACAGTACACACCAGTACATATCAGGTCCTGGTTAAAGTAAAAAGCACTGTACGCAGCAAGATGTATATGCGACATGGTAAACTTAAACTGATCTATACCATACCGTGGTATAAAGGTTTGGTCCAAACACGTCACCTACATCTTGACATATTTCGAATATGAGGCCATTTACAGATCAATGCCCTTTTTTGGAAGGACATTTTTGCAATGATATTCTTCCACACTATTCTAAAAAGAATGGAAAAGCTCACCCATTATGTGTCACTTCTCCCGGAGCTCAACCTTCTCTTTAAGTCTTGCACAAGAGAGCATCGGATTTTTAAAAAATTCGTACAATATCATTTCTGATATCATAGTGAATTAAGTAGCTTTAAAGGCACACTGTCCTACTTGTAGCTACTTGCTCCCTCTATATAGAAAACTTCCCAAATCGGTGCCTGTTGGTCCCCCATGATCCTCTTTTTCTTATGTTAAATGAGAGCTGAGTTAATGAGATAGCCACCTGTGACATTGACCTCGATGGCTCGCTGTGCGGTCTAATCCCTTCTTGCTGAAGTAGTAAAACCTCCCTTTAAGTCTTTACACCCAGGTAAACCCACGTAGAGTAAATCTCATCTGATTAAGCTCATCTGTGCGACATTGGAGAGCAATAGCATTATAATAATGATAATAATAATAATAATAATAATAATAATAATAATAATAGATTTGTATAGCGCAGCTTTTATACAAAATATATTCAGCTGCGCTGGTTAAGAGCTCCTTTTTTACTAAATTCTAAGTTCGGACACATCAAAAGTTTTTATTATAAACCCCTATAAATAATGGTATCGTCCGTTTTTAGGGGAGATTATAGCATTATAATGTATGGTGGAACTGGTCCAGGGATAATATAATCTTACATTGTATATCAAACCCAATGGCCCGAATTCAGAAAGGAGGTTTGTAGAAAACCCTAGGTTCATGTGCGTCATAATTGTGACGCGTTTCGAAGCGTTTCAGACCAAGGTTTGTCTGAACCTTGTGGTCTGAAACGCATCGAAATCCGTCATATGACGCACATAAACCTAGGTTTGTCTACAAACCTCCTTTGTGAATTCGGGCCTATATTCATGATAACACTAAACTAGTAGAATAATACAAGTATACTTTTACTCCTTAAAGAAAGGCTTGATATTGAGACACTACACTGCCAGCAACGACTCAAGTATACACTACAAAGTCAACAGTGGCGTATATCGAAATTCACAAGGGGAAGGGGGGGGGGGGTCGCTGAACCGCCCGTGTACATCACTTCATCCAATATTATGGTTCTCCAAATGTGTGTGTGTGTGTGGGGGGGGGGTGTACATCGTGACAATTCTTGTGCTGAATTGGCCGCCTTACCTTTTGAGGCAGTTAACGCACAGCCTAAGAGGCACATTGATTCCACGATTATTTAGAAATGTCTCCCTAATTAAGGCCAAATAAAAATAAAAAACATGTTCAGCGTCCTATTTTTTCGAAAAAATAGGAAGGAGGAGGCCCTTTTTTTTGTTCTTTCAAAATGGCCGCTCGGTACATTTTCCCTGACAGTCGGGATATTTTTCAAAATGGCCGCCGACATTTTTTTTTTTTTTTTTAAAATCAGAAATAGATCCATTTTAGCAGTGTTTTTCATGATTTTTCTATAAAAAAAAATAAAAAAAGGAAAAAAAAAAGGAAACAAAAAAAAATAGGAGGCGGCCCCCCCCCCCAAAGGAAGCGTGCGGGGAAGCTAAACATGTAAATATTTTTTAATGGCCTAATCAACTGTTTTCATCCGTCCAATTTCCCTCGAACGAATCCTACACTTAACTATTTCTCTTCCTGTCTCTCCCTCTCTCTCCCTCTCACACTCCCATACTCTCCCTCTCTTGCCATAGTTGAAAGTGACTGCGACTCCATAATCGATTTTGGAAACTCAGTGGACGTGGGTGATCCTTCACCGTATGTAGAAGATGGATTCAAGCATTCTTTTGACGCACTCGGTATTCATCCCAGCACCTACGGTGTCGCTCTCGTTCAGTTCAACCTCGGTGAAGTTGATATGAAAAAGAGATTCCGAGTTTGGATGCAAACTGATATCTGTATCGGGGTAAGATTCGAGTTCTATCCCCTCCCTCTTTACAGACATAATCGTTAATATTCTACTATCGTTTAAACCCGATGCTGCGTGTAATCTCCATCTTAAGTTGGGTTTGTATAACAAAGAAAATTAGACGGAGGTCTAAGGTTTTTCCCATTATGCAATAAGACTTAATTCCTCGCATCGGATTTAGTTAATCAGTAGAATACTGGTCACTGAATGGCGTTCGTTTTTGGGGTGGGGTGGGGGTGTTGGTGTTTCTAGGATACATGCCGTTAAACGCATAATTTTGATTTAATCCGATACGATTTTTCATGAAGGCATTTTGTATAGTATGAACAAACGAACGAACTAACGAACAAACAAACACAAATCAAATTCATTACTATAAAAGCCTAGCTGTTGTCACAGCTTTTTTTTTTGTCAATGTTTTTGAAAGATATCGCAAAAAACAAATTAATCAAATAACATCACTGCCACTCGTGGAAGGGCAGAATATTAACTTGATACTCTATCAAATATATTGGTACAAAATCAAACGCTTCGACGATACAATTTTAAAAACAGTTTAAAGAGAAGTATACCATTATAAATGTAATAACAACCATTGGTCTGGGTTTCTGTAGTGTAAATTGGTGGTAGTTGCCAATTTGACGAGGGAGACCCGTACGAAACGGAAGATTGCTACAATAGATACAACCTACCGGACCCGTATCAAAATTACTACAGATGACACCGCCTACCCCAGTACGGATGACACCTATTGCGAGTATGTATTCTTTGCCATTTTTTAATGAATATCTTATTCATTCAGTTTTTTAATTTTTTCAATTATTTCCCCCAGTTATATTGAAGTTGGTCGTCTCACACAATACCAGGGGCGGATCCAGGTGTTTTAAACAAAGGGGGGGGGGATTAAATGTACGGAATTGCGAGCGCGAACCACGCCTTTACGGGAGTGGAGTCGGCCCCTCTTAAAAATAAACGACCAACAGAATGTGCTACTAATCATATAGCTCCGTTTAGTCTCATTTTACAACGCCCCCTATCGTCAGAGTCAGCAGCCTAACATGTTAGCCTATGGAGTTTTACCCCCCCCCCCCCAAATCGTTAAAAATTCATTTTTTTTTGTTTAAACGAAAAGCACATCCAACCCAACGTACGTTATCACTAGCTCTTTCATTGGAACCCTCATGTCCTATTGACTTTTGAAAGTTCACCCACCGTAATTCGATCAAAATAGGTTGCAAGCTCGCCATTGCCTATAATACACATGTGAAACAAGTCGAACTTTGAACTCAGTTTGCCAAGTGATTTTAAGATTATAGGTCAAGCACACGAAGGATAAGAAGCATGAATTATCATAGATCACTTCTGCTTGGTTCATTATGTCCATTTCACCCAATCCCCTACCGTAATTTTTCCAATTAGTAAAAGCAAACATTTTGCCGAGGTAAGCAAAAACATAAATATTCATGAACGGTCAGACCAGGGAGGTGAGACTAGCCCTGGTCAGACAATACAGCCTTTTAGTACGTAACGTATAGTGAATGGGAATGGGTGATGATCCGTCCAGGAGGTAGAGGTCAGTGGTTTGTGCTGGCAATATTCCAGCGAGCGAAAATGAGACACCGGAGCACTATGCCTAGCAGGCTACGGTCTGACTATTAATCTTGTCTCTCTCTCTTTTTTTTCCTTCTCTTTTTGAGTCTCTTTCTCCCTCTAGCTCTCCATCCAGCTTTTTTTTTCGAAAGGAAAAAGGGGGTGGGAGGCGTGCGCCCCCACGCCCCCTGGATCCGCCCCTGAATACATTGGTGTAAGGTTTCACCTTGTCGCTTTAGGCCATTAGTAGGATCAGCTGCAGATTAAGGAATGAACAAATGGAGAAGGCCGTCAATCTTGAGGTCCCCATCCCCCCCCCCACAAAAAAAATCTGCTACAAGCCCAAAAGAAGAAAAAAATGTCATTACAATTAAGGAATGCCATTGCAAATCTAAGATTACTGTGAGGGAGGGGAAGGTGAAGGGGGGGGGAACACATTATTTTCATATTTGATAAGATATGCCGGGTTGAACATCGCCAGCAACATGCTTTCTCTGCCCTGAATCCACCAATGATTGGGGTTAGGGAGGGAGGGGGGGGGGGGTAAGGGAGTTAGAGCAAATCTACTGACAGGATAGACCCTCCCCTCCAAATTACTTAAACAAGTATGATAAATAGGTCATAAGGTTTCTGTATATATGCCATATTGCCAACAAATGTAGAAGAAAAGTGCGCATATTATCAAAGAGCCAATAATATTCAAAATCGCAGACAGCAAATACAGATTTTCTGGACAGGATTTTGAAAGGGTTGTACCCAACCCCTCCCCCGCATTAAGCGATGCGCGTATACCCTCATTATATCCCTTATCTATAGTATCACCAAACAGAACAAATTTTAGACAATATTCATATTTTATGGGTTTGCAAAAATAATCCAAAAGTTATTGACTCTCATATACCTGTATAATTATTTTCAGTCACCTCATTTGTAGGGTTACTGGGTTTTTCTTCTCGGCTAAAAATTATCAAGAGGGAGATTGAACCTGCATTGCCCCCTTAAAGTGACTTGGTAATATTGCCTCAGATTCTGAAACAAAATCCTGGATTTAGCTCATGCTGCAATCATAATTATAAACCTTTAGGTCAGTCAGGAATCCTATGACTTTTACAAGCCGATCGCCTGTCTGATTATCAAGATATTTATGATTGGAGCAAATTTTGCGTTTTCCTAACGGTTTTTATTACAGTACAGTCCATTGGGGAAATGAGTATGCTAAAACCGGTCTCTCAAAGATTTTTACTTTTTTGAGGCACTTCATGATCATTTTGATTAGCAATTTTTTTAGGGCTTCAATATTTTACCACATCACAGACACGGTTCTAGTAAACCTACCCCCTGGACATCCACCTCGGATAACCACCCCAGGCAACTACCCCCTGCACAACTACCCCCGGAAAACTACCCCCAGACAACTACCCCTACGACAACCATCCTCTAGGACAACTTACCCCGGATAACTATCCTAGGGGGTAGTTGTCCGGGGTTAGTTGTCCGGGGGTAGTTGTCCTAAGGGGTAGTTGTACGGGGGGTAGTTGTCCTAGGGGTTAGTTGTCCTAGGGAGTTGTTGTCTTGGGGTAGTTGTCCTGGGGTGTAGTCATCTAGATGGGTGGTTGCCCTATGGGGTAGTTGACTGGGGGTGTTTATCTGGGGGTGGATGTCCAGGGGGTAGGTGTCCGGATACGCACAGACACTGATATCACATAGGGCTATGCATCTCAGATTTAAAATTGTTAAACGATGCCTACAATATACGCCACTGGTCATTATTTCTGATTTTTTTTTTTTTTTTTTTAACTTCAGAAAATCTATGCTGCATGTTTGCAAACCCCTTTTTATTTTCATATACGTATACAACACCGATATAGGTTTTTATTCGTCTTACGTATCTGAACTACCCTTTGTTGTTCTTGTGCAGGCTTTGGTATCATTTCGGGCTCATCGGAGAATATAATTTGACCATAACAAGCACCCTACACAACAGGACTGAAGAGTGCAACTTGCAAATATGGAAGAAACCCTTTTATGAAAATACAGGTATAGTCGAACCACTAAGTCCCTCACACATTATGTATTATTTTGATTACCTGTGGTAATCAAGTCTGTGAAGACGATTAATCCATACCCAAATAATTAAAAGAAGACGTTAGCAACATTTGTTTCGTATTCTCTTTTTATTACAATATCCCTCTCTCATGACACGTTTCCTCATACAAAATGACCCCTCTTGTGCAACGGTCGTTAACTTTTCGCGGAAAAAAAGACAGAAAGTAAGATGTCGCCTTTTTGGCGCTGCACGTGGGACGTCACTCCGATTGCCAGTTCATAATTGTATTCGTATTCTCGAACGTTTAGTTTCGTTTCGCATAATTCAGTGAACGCATAATCCTTTACATTGGTTCTAGAACACCTACCCCCTGGACATCCATCCCTGGATAACCACCCCCAGTTAACTACCCCCTAGGACAACTACCACCCTAGGACAACTAGCCCCTAAGGCAACCACCCTCTAGGAGGACTACCCCCTAGGACAACTACCCCCTGGCAACTACCCCCCCCCAGTAAACTACCCCCTAGGACAACTACCACCCGGACAACTACCCCCACACAACTAGCCCCTACGACAAACATCCTCTAGGACAACTACCCCCGGACAAATATCCTGGGGATAGTTGTCCTAGGGGGTAGTTGTCTGGGGGTAGTTGTCCGGGGTAGTTGTCCCGGGGGTAGTCGTCCCAGAGGGTGGTCGCCCTAGGGGGTAGTTGTCCTAGGGGATAGTTGACTGGGGGTGGTTATCCGGGGGTGGATGTCCAGGGGGTAGGTGTCCGAATATGCTTTACATTATCAGAATGTTAACAGTTTGTTAAAGTCTATAGTTTTAGAATCAATGAAGTAAACTTTGCAAATTCATTCTATACTATTCATATGTTTCTATCTTGGTATATTTTTTTACACTACATTGCAGCTTCATTGGTCTTCTTTGGCACAATTTTCTTGGGATTTTTCATTGCTGCCGTCTGGTTGTAAGTATAGCAGTGATCAAAATAATATTGGAATTGTGTAGACTGACCTAGATTAACAGATATCACCTGTCTTTAGCTCCATAGTTGCACAATCGACAATTCATAGAGCAAATGCTAATGCCCCCTCCCCCTCTCTCTATCTTATGCCCGTCTGTCTTTCACTCCAATCCCATCCAAAAAGTGTTTGATAAGCTCTGTTTCTCACCATCTAATACACTCTATGACCATCTATTCCATCCTTTCATTCACTCTATTTGTTCCTCTTGCAGTCATTGTATAAAAGGGCGTGTCACGAAGAGCTGGACGATTAATCATAATGGAAGTACACTTCCAGTGAGTATGAATAATTTAATAAGCGCGTTGTACTCAAGACTATAAAGCACAATTGTCGGTAATTCAGAGTAATATATTCGTCTGTTTAGAGCCAGAAGAAATTAAGTCATATACTTTAACACAAATTGGACTCTCTTCTCCCTCTGAACAGACGTTTTGCACTGCACATCGTTGTTTGTACAATGGATTTCACTCTCTATTGGCGCGTCAAATCCGCATATGTCACTGACGCAGTCCTACGTCAGGCAAATGTCGAAATGCTGCGTCAGGCAAATGACTTCATGTCTTTAACTAGCATTACAATATCAACTCGAGATGATTTGATTGAGACAAAAGTTTAGTCAATTTTCTTCACCGTCTGATAGAAAACAACAGTAGGAATAAAAGTAAGCCATCAAACTTCTTTGGCCCTTTTTTCATTTCCTTTGACCGTCAACTACGGTCTAGATCGTCGAAGACCAAACACCTCTCACCGTCCAGGAAAGGAACGACAAACCGACTCCGACCTCAACTCGACTCAAGTCTGTGGATACGTTCAGAGGGTAAGAATTTTGTGAACAAGTCTTAATTCGGTAAATTGGGTTATTCAATCTTTCAACGTGAACAAGTCGTAAATCGCAATCCCTAGTAATAGTTGGTTGTTCTATTTTCTGGAATGAACGAGTCTAAAATAGTAATTTTTATTTGGTTATTCTATTTTCTGCAATAAACGAGTCTAAAATAGTAATATTTGGTTGTTATGTCTTTTTTAAAGTGTGAACTAGAATCCAATCACAATTTGGTTTTCTATCTTCTAGTGTGAATTAGGCTTTAAATTGTATCCAGTTCCTCGTTTAAAACGAACGAGTCTAAATTCGTAATAAATGTTTGTTTTAATCTTTAATCATGTCATGCTATTAAAAAGAGTTACTGTGGTATATTAGATAAGGCTCTTGGCTCTCGTTCGAGAGATTATGGGTTCGATCATTGTTCGGTGCTTACATCCTTCAATGGGGCAAGGTGTTTTGGCCACATTTCCTCTCCGAACTGGGCCCCGTTGCATTTAAGTTACCACTGATGTTAATGTTGCCATCGATGTTAACTACCATGGCAACCTATCAAATCAAGGTTTCCATGGAAGATACAATTGATAGCAAACTTTCATTTTCATTTTCTTTTTCACTTTCATTTTCATTTTCATTTCCATTTTCGTTATTATTATCATTATTATCGTTAATATTATTATTATTATTACATCTAAAGGGTTGCGATAATGCTACTAGCGGGTGGAGCCTATGGAGACGGTCACTATTGGTTCGTATCGCATGCCATTTGGTCCGGTATGTATCAATATTATGTTTCCCCTGTTGAACACAAGCTGCCATGATAATTGTGCTATAATCCTCTTTGTAGAGGTGTTGTGGTCTAGTGGATTAGTCTCATGGCTGTGAACAACAAGGTACGGAATTCGAATCCCTACCGCAGCCACACTCGACCCAGATGCAGCACATGGGTACCTGGTAGGATGTATTCCTCCAATGCAATTAGTGCTTCGGTTGCCGGGGTAATAATATTCAAAGTCTGTTGGAACAAAACGAGACGGTTTATCCCAATATCCTAATATGATATACGCTATACAAGAACGGCATTGATGATAATGATAACGATACTTATAATAATAGTAACAATAATATTATTATCATTATCATTATTATCATCAGTAGGAATAGTATTAGTAGAAGTTGTACACTGTATTAGTAGTAGTAGAAGTAGTAATAGTACTACTACTAGTAGTATAATGAGTACTAATATAATCATAAAATCGATAGCCCCCAACACACCCATACTATATTAGGGCATTAATTAGACCTATAGGTTTGTCGAGAAACCTTGGTTTTCGTACGTCATATGACGCGTTTTACACGGTTTTTACAAACCTGGTTTGTAAAGAACAAAAGGAGGTTTGAGCTCAAACATTGGTCTGAGCTCAAACCTTGCTTTGTGAATTCGGGCCATAATGTTGTTGTGAATATTACATCCCTCCAATTTTTTTTTGAAGAGGCAGCATTATTCCTGTGACGGATTGTAATAACAGAGGGGGGGGGGGGGTGTGTGTGAGAGAGAGGGAGTTTGCTTGCTCTTTTGGTGGGAGTGGAGGGAGGGCAGTCCTCCTTGTAACACTGTCTCTAAGTCATCAATATAATACCGTATTAGTAAACATTATGTATTTGACATGGACTTTTTTTCTCCATTATAGGAATTACTGTGGCAGATTTCATGTTTCCATGGTAAATACAAATTATGTTTAGATTACATTTTAAGTGTGTGCGTGTCTGTGCGTGTGTGGGTGGGCCTGTGTTTGTGTGGATATGTTTTGATGTAGGTGTGTGGGTATGTGAATAGCCCGTCTATTTCTTATGTATGTAAAAAGTGTAAAGAGAAATAGATGTCAATAGAGGACATTGATCTTCGTTGTTGATACAATGTGAAATGTGAAATCCATTGTTAATTGTTTCGTGTTGAAATTTTGTTGCTTTTTTGGTTGTTTAATTACAAGTTTTTTTTAATACGAGCACCTGTATTATTTTGTCAATATGTAAAATGGTGACATCGTCGGTCTGGTAAACCCTCAAGAAGGTTGTCATCAGGAGGCAGACGATGTCGTGGGCTGTCGATCTTGTGGGCTGTCGATCTTGTGGGCTGTCGCTTGTCGGTCTCATATGCCGTCGCCTACACAATCAGATATGTGGATCAATATCCAATGATAACAAACATAAACCCAATATTGATTATTGACCATTATTAAATCAAATCAGAATTCCTTTAGAATCACATTACATTGATCAACACTTTGCCCACAGGCCCCATAAGATTAATAAACTCACTTTAGCCTTACGTGCTTTTGTTTAAGGTTTGTGTTCATCATGGGAACCTCGATCCATCTCTCGATCAACATCCTCCTATCAAAAGGTCAAAGTTATCCTTCTATCTACAAGAAACTGGTTTCCCGCAGCATCACTCTTTTTATCATGGGAGTCTGCATTCAGCGTGAGTATTGCCAATTTAATGAAGCCATGCGTGCTCTGTATTGTATTTATCGTGTATGGACGTCTACGCTAGCAGGGTGGATTTTAGCGCCAGTATTATTTGGTAATTCTGTAAAGCCTCAACATTTCTACTTTACATGTATGCTCTTTGTCTGTACATTTACCGGATGTTCACCAATGCAGTAATGTTGTGTCATGTAACTATTTACCTATCTTACTTTTGATTCCTTTTTTGTTGTTATGTTTTCGTTTTTTTGCTCCGCTTTGGAATTCACTATTATCATCATAATATTTATTCGAAATATCAGCTTTTAATTTCTAATATCTCTCAAGAGAGACATGTATTAGAAATTTTAAATCCATTAATTAAATAAAATCAAAATACAATGCAACGTCCCTTTGCCTCAATCATGTCCGGTCAAAGATGGTTACAAATTGGCCACGATCACATTGATACATTCTTGCAGGTCGACATCCCATGAGACCGGCATTTTCGGTCTCGAGAACCCTCGGGAAATTTTATTTTAAACATCGGTGACGGATAGATCGGTTCCGTTCTTCGGTCTGTCTCATGGACCCTTTACAAACTGCTCAGAAGGTTCACAAGACCAACATAAACGGTCTGCCGCGTTTGCCGGTCTAATTGGATGTCGGTCCCTTGGGCTAACAGTCTCGTAGGCTGTCTGTCTCATGGGGTATCTGTATTGTGGGCTGTCAGTCTCATGGGATATCGGTCTAGTTGGCTGTCGGTATCGTAGGCTTTCGGTCTCACAGGGTATCTGTCTCGTTGGCTGTTGGCCTCGTAGGCTGTCAGTCTCAAGAAGTATCAGTCTCGTAGGCTGTCGGTGTCTTGAACTGTCCCATGTGGCTGATGATAGTGATTATCATTATAACCCTAGCTGTTTTCTTTTCTGTTTCTAGCTCATAATGATTTTCGTACTCTTCGCATCCCCGGTGTCCTACAACGTTTTGGTATCACGTATTTCATCGTCTCCTCATCCTACCTTCTCTCGAGACGTCTTCAAGCACGTAGGACAGAAAGAACGGTGAGATCAATCATCAAGTCCTCCTTAACTTCACACTTTATCGATAGTTTGGTGCTTCTTACAAGTATTAGCTCTTCTCAAAATACTTTTAAAACCCTTTCACAACTTCGGAGAACGTTTACAAGTTGGCAATCTCTTTCGAATCGTTATCAGGATCCTCCCTCTTTCAATTTGACTGCCACTCCATAGCCTTTTTTGTTTACTTGTCACTATTATATACAGTGCGTCCCAGAAAAAACGAAACCGAGAATTATCGATGTTTTATCATAACGTAGTCACATTTATAATTACTAAATGGCACATATTTGGAAAGCTTAGATCCTCCTCTTTCATTTGCTGCAACTCATATGATGCATATTTCACGCATGAGTGATTAAAATGAATTTGAAGAGAGGAAACCAAAAAGTCATTTGGCTGACGGTATCTGAATTTCAGGGAGAAAATCACATTTCTAGAAAGTTGAGTTTCTGCCCTTTCATATGACACCTCAATCAGGAAAAATGAGCAAGGAATGAGAAAGTTCTGTTTGTTAAAAGTAGTGCTTGCATTTCCATAATTTTATCAAACGAATTCGTTTTCACTGGGTGCCTGCCGTAGCAACAAACAGAGTTAACAAAAGACTTAACTTCATTTCGTTAACATTCAGCCATAGACGAAAGACTTCATGCATGGCTGATTGTCAACGAAACGGAGTTAAGTCTTAAACATACATCATTATCTTTATAAGTTTAACTTCTTGTATTTTGTATGCAAAATATTATATATTTTCAATTAGATGTTTAAAGAGATCTTTATAATTTCCATGTTTTCAAAAGAAATTGAAATAATCTATGCGCAATTAAAGTTTATTTTATTTCTTGATAAATGGAGGCACGTCCAACTTATCTTAATACTACATGTATAATCTTGTTTTCCATTGTACCTTTCTTTGTCAAATGTATGTATCCATCACTTTGTACATTTGCTTATATTGTTTTATGCTTTGAGAAAAATTGAATAAAGACTTTATTCGAAGAAAAAAAAAGAAAAAATTTCAACTTCTCATAGTGAAAACTAATGTACCTGTTTGATTCATTTTCACTGACGCAGGGTCAATATTACATGATGTTTCGTGACGTCATAGACTACCTTGAACTACCCCTGGCTGTCTGTTGTATGGGTATTCAAGTGCTGGTGACCTTTATACTACCAGTACCCGGATGTCCACTGTGAGTTCAGAGCCATTAAAAAAAAAATCACAAGATTTACATTTCAATCTTGTTAGGCATAAGATCGAGGAATTGCATGATACCATCATTATTTTACTAATAACATTGTGCATTTTGAAAGTTCCTTTTCATGTTTTCATAGTCTTATGATGTTATACTTTCCGGGGCATGATTTTATTCTTGTTTTGTACTCGTTAGGCAAAAATATTGTTATGTTCAGAAAAATGATATCTTTTTCTATTTATCGTTTAGATTAGAAATAAAATTTTATGATTAATACATATATATATATATGACAACCTAGTTTTACAAATCACAAATGGGTTAAATTCATGGAATCTAGCAAAATAGAAAGATTATTTCAAGTTCTATTTCAATTCTAAAATCAACATCTAAATCCTCTTCTACTCGTTACAACGTAATGCCGTGATCAGATTTGTTTGTCCAAATATTGCTTTTACTTTATAGTTCACTTTGTTTCCATTTTGTTCAGCGGTTATCAGGGACCTGGTGGTCCGCTGGTTGGAGAAAACGGTGAGCTTACGAATTGCACCGGTGGAGCCTCGGGCTACATCGACCGTCTGTTCTTCACAGAAGCCCACATCATACCTAAACCTAGATGCGCTAGGATATATCATTCGACCCTATCGGTTGACCCGGAAGGAATACTCGGAACTTTTAATTCTATTGCGCTTTGTGTGTTTGGTCTACAGGTAAACGACATTTGACTGCATTATTATTTCCCTGTTGTAGGCTACGTTACGTTTTTTTATTTTTTCAGTTATGCAGCCGATTGACAATTGACTAGCTGTGAGACCAACGTTAGATCGATGTTTTCGGTCTCGCAAGCCTGCAAGAATGACGGTCAATGAATCCGACAGGCCACATGACAACAATTCTAATCTGAAGGATCTTTTGACTACTGTTTGTGAAAATTCATGAGATCGACAACCTGCTGTGAGATTTCATGAGATCGACAACCTGTTGTAAGGTTTAATGTGATCGACAGCCTGTAAAATCACATGATCAAACGTCAAAATTCCTTTTCATTACAACGTTATGTCGGTCTCACGGCGGGTCATCGGTCAATCGGTGATAAGGAAACTCAATCAATTGCAAATTATAAAAGTTTTTTAACAACGTTAAATCTGAATGAATGTTTCTCTGAATCAAGCCATGCTCCATAAACATCTATGTATAAGTAAGTGATCTTTTTCCTCCCGTTATCAAAGGATTAGAGCTTATTATTGATACATCTTTGTTCTGATAAACATGTACCGTAAAAGCTTATTCATCTTGAACAACTTGAATTATTGATACAGTGCTACTGAAATAAAGGGATTGTACAATGTTGTTTCTACATTAGTTGTTCATATTTTGTTAAAATTTTCTGTCAGGCTGGCAAGATTCTACATCTCCATTCAACCGTGAGAGGGCGCATGGTCAGACTTCTCCTATGGGGTTCACTGTTGGTAAGAGATTCTTCAGCTTTTTTCGACGCCATGATGTTCATTGTTGAAAAGTTTGCCATTACAATCTTGTTCGGATGCTCTATTTTGAGCCTTCTTCCTAACTGTGTCAGTGAGAGAAAGGTGGACGAATGAGGAACTGGTAGGATAACCAAAACAAAATTGTGTCAATCATTGCCATATACCCTCACGGTGACTATTTAGTAGGAATCCTGCCCAGGAGTGGAGATGGTGCACACTCTGTTCACGAACGAATCCGATGGCCGGGTTAATGATGATAAATGTAAAGCGCTTTGATAGGGACGATATACCGTGTTACGCAGAGCGCTAAATAAATCCAGCTTTGATATCATTATTCACTCAGACTCTTCAGGACTTTTTAATTATTTACAAAACAGATAAATATATCAACCATAGAGCAGTTGTTAATTGCGTAATGTTGTTCCTTATTTCCAGATATCCTGCAGTGCTGTTTTGAGCAAATGCCACATGGCTGATGGATGGATACCCATAAATAAAACCTTATGGTAAGGAACAATTGTACTCCTTTACAACTTCAGCGAAGTAAAATAGGCCTATGTTTAATTTAAAAACAACTATATCAACATTTGAAAGGGCCCATGCCATTCAAATACAAGGGTATTCCTGTTGGTGTTTAGTCCTGCATACATCTCATATTTTGATATGTAAACTTCTGAATGATTTTATAGATTTTTATATATTTTTTGAAATATTTTGTCTTCAAACTTGCTAAGCTCCGCCCTAAAAATCCTCCAAATCTCATTCCCCTTTTGACATCATCTGTCAGTCATCAATGAGCTAACTTGAGAAAGTGGCATGTAACTTTGCCAAAGTTTTCCACCTATTACAATACTACAAACAATAGCAACATATAAGTTGCTATGTCAGACATGTCAGACTAAACTAATATTCTAGAATATACAAAGGTATGTAATTTCCCCCTGCTCAGCACACGTTTATAATATCATTGCATGCTTTCATACATTATGTACAATACATCATCATTGTCTTTATCTTCCTGATGATGCTAAAAACACGTTAATTTTACCTTTTTTGGAGATCCCCCCCCCCCCCCTGGCGCTCAAAGGGGGGGGGGGGGGTGCGAAATTTTTCAAATTTTCGAGCGCCAAAACAAAAATGTGCGCACTACTAAATGTGCACACTAGGTCCCCAGGAAAGAAACATCCATACATTTGCCATATGTAAGTAAAACAGTCTATTGTCATCCCTTCATGTTGTCGACATTTTCTTCCTTGAAGGTCCGTTTCATATATCTTCCTCACCGGTGGATTAGCCTTCATGATTCAGGCCTTGTTCCACATTCTTATTGACGTAACGAATTTTTGGAACGGAGCTCCGCTAATCTTCGCAGGTAAAAATACAAATCATTGAAAACAATATTTTATTTGACAGCGCAGTGTCATTGATGCTCGTTTTTTCGCATCACGGTTAAAACAATGGCCCTTGGTGATCTCGCAACTACGCTATGCCTCTCAACTGTAGTCTCGAGGCATAGCACAGTTGCGAGCTTACCTCGGGCCATAGTTTTCACCGTGCTCCTCAAAGAAGTAAACATTTGTATTATAAAACACGGGGGGGGGGAATTGTCATCAATTCATTGTCACGATTATTATCTTTTTTATTATTATCATAATTATTGTTATATATCATTGTCACCATTATTAATTGTTGTTATTGTCTCAGGCATTATGATCACTAGTATCATAATCATGATCAACGTCATTGTCAATATCATGACTATCATCATCAATTTCATCATCCTCACCACTCTTCTCCTTCTCCTCCCCATCATCATTATTAATCATCATCGCCATGATAATCATCACAATCACCACCATCATCATTATCATCATCATCATTGTCATGTCAATGCAGGCATGTATTCTTTCCCTTAAATATATTACTAATCTATCGGTGGATCTATCGAGTTCATCTATATTTTTCGTCATCTTTTTATTTCTTAGGAATGAATTCCATCCTCATTTACATCGGAGTGGACATAATGAGTCCCTACCTCCCGTTCTCATGGACACCTCTGGTTGGTAATCACACGGAGTATGCCATCCTCGGTGCTTGGTCCCTCGTGCTCTGGCTTGTCATCGCCTACATCTTCTACCGAAAGAAAATATTCCTCAGGCTCTGATCACTATCACCCCTCCCTGTTCCGACTTGCAAAATATGTAGTACAGCAATTCAAAGTCGATACAATAATGTTTACCCTGTAGTCTGAACGTCGTATTAAGAGAAACGAAGTTAAAGACATGATAAAGATGTTAATTCGCTAATCATTTCCAATGGATTGTAATTCTTTCTCATTTCTCTGTGTCAGGAATATCCTACGTTTTAATGCTCTTTTCATCTTCAAATTGTCCTTACTGTCTCTCTCAGTGTATGTTCGTTGATGGGACGTCCCACTAAACGGACAGCCATCGGTCTCGAGAGCTTGTAGACCTATCCGTACATTAGGGTCATGGGGATTCACAACCCAAGTTATTTGTTTCGTTCGTTACAAGTCTATATTTATTCTCTTTCCTTCGTTTGCGGCTTTTTCTTTAATATTCATTTTTAATCATTATTAACAACGCAAATTTATTTTCGAAGAGTGGTATAAATTTGTAAACACTTTCAAATAGTTTGCATTAATAACTCATGAATTTTGACCCGAATACACGAAGGAGTTTTATCTTATACCCAAAGTTAACTTTCAAAGTCATAGTCATGGTAGTAGTTATGTATCCTCATGTTTTTATTGCTTTAGTTTTAAAGGCGTGTATCATTCAGTTTTTAATATTTTATGCCCAAATGGACATGATTATACCCATGTTTTAGGCTACGACGGAGATTTTTTTAAATCTTAAATCTCGTGGCCAACTCCTGGTTGGGAACCATACTGAGTATACCATCCTCGCGTGGTGGTCGTCCATTGTCTGGTTTGTCATTGCATATGTCTTCCAACGAAAAAAAATATTCTTAAAGCTGTGATGACGATGGCAGAGATGATTGCATTGACACTCGGTCATAATGATGGCATAAATTCGATGTAGCTTTACAGAGAAGGTTGGGTCAGGGGAAAAGTCAAAAATATAATTTGTGATTTTGTTTTTCTTCTCATTCTTTTTAATGTAAGAAAACAAATGTCCCATGAAAAGGATGGCTCTTCAAATGCCCTCGTAATCGAAATATGACAAGTAACAGCTAAAGGTTGTTCCATGCGACATGTTTGTGTAGTCCCATATACTCATATCTGTGTACGATGCATGTGACTTTTTAGCAAGTTTGGGCAATTTTCTCATTATTTTGATGATTCCTAAACCTCATAGCATATTGTGCTCGGTTCTAGGCCCAGCCCCCCTCAATGTTATTTAGGGTACGCATATGCTCGTTCCCTCTTTTTGAAAGCACCCCCTATCTGAGGACTGCCAATATTTCCGAACCCCCCTTTCGCGGGCATTTCGCGGGCTTTTCCTACTTTGGAGACCCCCCTAAATCAGGAAAAATGTTCAATGTACCCCCCTAAATTCGAAATAATTTCTCAGGAGTCCAAAGAGATGAGAGAACAAAGAAAAAGCATCCCCTTTTTAAAGAAATCTCCGGTGAAAAGTCAAATACACCCCTTTTTTTTTTACATTTTGGCAACACGCATGCGGTCATTTCGACTTCTGAGTGGGGGGGGGGGGGGGGGGGGGTTCTAGGACAACTACCCCCTGGCCAATCACCCCCGGAAAATTGCCCCCGGAAACTACCCCCAAAGGACAATTACCCCCTGGAATATTACCCCCCGGAGAATCACCCCCCGAGGACAACTACCCCCCAAGGACAACTACCCCCCAAGGACACTTACCCCCCCCCCGGAAAATTATCCCCCCCCGGAGAGTTATCCCCCGAGGACAATTACCCCCCCCCAGGACAACTACCCCCCGAGGACAATTACCTCGTAGGACAATTACCCCCACCCGATGACATTACCCGCGATGACAATTACCCCCGAGGACAGTTACCCCCGAGGACAATTCCCCGCCCCCCCCCCCCCCCCGAGGACAATCAGGATTCAATAGCGAAAGACGATCTGACTCATTGAGAGATGGCTACGAGCCCATAAGATCCCCTGCATGAACCCATATTCGTTCAAATACTATAGCACGTTGTCTTCCTCATTACTACACATTTCCCTGTTATTATAATTTATGCAACGCCAGTGCGGTTGCTGATTTCCACGAAGGATGTAAGTTTTAGGTAATTGTCCAGCGCTTTTCAAAATGCATAGAAATACATTTCTCTGGAGCAGCGTTATTTTAACTTTTTGTTAGTCACGGTACCCTGTTAAGAAATGAAAAGTTTCTCCCAAATCCCAAGTCTTTACAGACTATTAATTTTGCATGACTCTGGAACTCGTCAAGTGCTATGCAAACACGTATAGGCACATTTAAGAATAAAAAGGAGAAGACATTTTCTAACTGGTAAAAAGACCTACTAACAAAGTAGTTTGTAATCCATACACTAGAAACGATTTAAAGTACTGTATGCGGGCACCTTGCCGCCGAATGTACATATATAAAAAGTGATATATTCGGTCATGACCTTGCTACACGAATATGAGGATATTCGGGCCTCTCGTTGCCCTTATTTGCCTCGCTGTCAATATATTGTTAGCGAGCGAGGAAGGAAGATACTTTAGTATTTTCAAAATTTTATTTTCTCATGTAATTACATATTTTAACCGTTTCTGATATTTGATTTTTTACAAAATCAACGTTTTTCAAATCATTCTCTTGCAGCACCCCGGTTGAAAATGCTGTGCTAGAGTTACAAAATCAAATGAGATGAATTACCAGAGAGCGGATATTTATTTTCTTTTGACATGGCACCGTACATATAACTTGAAGGCAATTTCTATTTCAAAATAATTTAACGTACAAGAAAACACATAATACACAAATAAATAGATAACGTGAAGAAAACCTTAATTTTCGGATCATTTCATATTCATATTTATTTCATTTCCAACAGAAAGGTAAACAAAGATATTAAATAATCTGGATGAGGGCCCATTATACATACAAAGACGATCAGCTGATTAAAAAAACAACAGAGGATGCATAAAGGAAATCTTACATCCTAATTTCTTTGTTGTTCCATTGTTAGTGAGAGAGGCTGTAACGCGTACTCATCTGCGCTCATTGTATTGTTCAATTCTAAGAAATTTAATTTCTTAGCTCACGATTCATTTTTCTACTTTGTCCAGAACTAAACCTTCTCATTGTCGTCTAGTGGCTGTGCGCGCGCGCGCCTGTGGGGGGTGTGTATGTATTAATTTTGTGTTAAAATTTACATGTATTAACATATGTCAATTATTCTAATTTTATTTTAACTTGCCCTAATTAACTTATGTCATTATTATCATTACCATATGTTATTATGTATCAATGTCTTAATTAAAATTCATTAACTTATTTCTGTGTCTGTATTATCATGTTACATAATTCGCATATTCAAGTGGTATATAAGTGATGTTGAATAGAACCGAATGAAGATTACGGGGGGGGGGGGGGGGTTATGAGAGAGAGAGAAGGGATGATCAGAAGATTATATCCACCCTAGGTAATGATGCCTGATATATCAGTGGTTTATCTACTGGGGACATGGGGCACCCACTCCCCTTCGAATGGAGAAAAAGGAAGGAAACAGAAAGTTAGAAAAGAAAGAGCACTAAGGAAGAGGAATGGGAGAGGGGGAATGAACATGAGAAGAAAGGATTCGACCCATCCCACACCTTCCTTTCATCCTATGGCATTATTCTTTCGCATTGCATTCATCTGATATTTTGGTAATTACCCCCAACGACACCCCCCCCCCCCCATGTTGGAATCACGATACACCGCTGTCAGAATAAAATCTTATAACTTTCTCTTCAGTATTTGAATATAACGAAATGCATGTCATAAAAGATAGGAACTATATTTCGCTCTAGCACAGATGTAACTTCAAAAAATATATTATCGAGATGTAATTGGTTGCTCTGAGTACTCAGATGAGATTTAATAACCCGCCATAAAAGGGCAATCCACGAAGAAAAATCATGGTGTCATCAAACTGGGAGAGTAGTGATTTCCTATCAAATAAAAAAAGAGAGAAAAGTAAATTACTATTCTGAACATAAATATACAAAATTATTCTGACCGAAAAAACGTGATTACAACTTTTGTTTTTGCACGGATTGAAAGCATCTGGATCTACGAGCAAGGAAGTTTACTATTATTTGTTTATTTTTAAAACAAATAATTGATGATTGGCATGAATTATGCAGCGGCGCAGATATTGGAGAAAGAGAGGCACGAGCGCCCTCCCCAAAAAGAACAAAATAAATTAGGAGAGCGGCAGAGAGAGGAAGAGAGGAGAAGAAAGAGACGGGAAGAGGAAGAGAAAGGAAGAGGAAGAGAAACAAGAAAAGATGATGAGCGTTACAAAGTTTGAGCCATTAAGCAGGGGGGGGGGGTATCATGTGGGTGGGATGCGAGATAACAGAGCCATAGACAGATAAAGAGAGGGTCAAATTATGTTCTTTTCATCTTGCCTTTCCCTCTCTTCCCTTCTCCCCCTCCCTCCATCCCATCTTCCTCTCTCTCTATCTCTCTCTCTCTCCCCCTCTCTCTTTGCTGTTAGCGTAAATCTTATGTATATCTTCATAACCAGTCATCAAAACTTAACCAAATTTGGTACACATAAACTTCAGGTCAAGGGTCAATATCTGGGCATAGTAATGTACGCGCGCGCGTCAAAATTAAAAAAATACTCCAAATAACTTTTTAAAGTACGTTATTCTATTCTGAAAGAGTACGAATTTGACGATAATTTATATTGTAACGTCATCGTATAGCCCCCCCCCCTCTCTCTCTCTCTCTCTCTCTCTCTATTTCTCTCTCTGTCGCTATTCCCCTGCCTTTCTTTTCTTCATCCTCCCCATCTCAATCTCTCTTTTTTTTTTCTCTCTCTCTCTTTTTCTCTCTCTCACTTTCTCTTGGTCCGTCTCCATCTTTCAGCGTCTACTTACACCACGCCTGTTCTCTCTTTCATACACTCTCCAATCCAATCCTTTCTTCTCGTCTGTGAAAAGCGCTTTACCCTCTTTCTTTCTTCATGTTGCCCACCTCTTATCCGACTTATTCCAGTTTACGTAAATGAAGCTCTGAGGCGATAATTTAAAATGTACATGGCTTTCATAATTATTTTATTCAATTTCTTACGATATATCTCCTTCTACCATCTCTCAACAACAAGAAATGTTTGAATCCCATGAGTTCAATCAGTTATAGATCAAACTTTCTCTTGTATACATTATGTACAAAGACACATTATCTATTATTACATTATTACATATTATCTGTTTGTAATTCTCTGTAAGTGCGTATATTTCTGATAATGTACACAGTCACGTACAATAACTCTGATACACAGTCAGTTGGTAAAGGTCGAAGGTATTATATTGTCTTCAATTGACAACTTCCTAGGCTTGTGAGAAAAAAGAAACAAGTAGTCATATATTTTGTCGAAATGTCTGCATTTTTGGGAAATCTCACTATGAGTGATTTGTTGTAAATAGATATTATTTGTTACCATTTAATATCTTGGTTCAAGTTGGTTCACTGAATAATTGATATTTCAACACTGTGAAACTTACTATGGTCAGTCTAGATGAAAGTCTATTCATGCTGATAAATCTCACAATATACAGAAATAGGAATATGAATAATAACAATGTATTTGGATTAACAATACAGATCTTTCTTGCCGGACAAATAAAACCAACGTAAGTGTTGTCCTCCTGGAGCTGGCAATCGATTAAATCGACACAAAAACACACACACACGCACACGCACACATACAAACACACACACACAATCAAAATATTTTTACAAAATGACCGTAACAATAATTCTTAATATGAACAAAACATGACAACTGCACAAACATATAAATCACATTTAGCAACGGATCTATTAGGTCTACGACATAACCAAATAAGTTGCTTATCACATGATAAAACAATCATTTAAAGCAAATGACAGTCTTACTGCTTAGATAAATACATGGAATTGTTGTCTCTACAATAACTGATGAGATAGTCACAAACATTTGTTGTTCTTACAACAAATTCCATATTCTGCAAGTCCTAGATACTGTTAAGTTAGTCATACGTATTCTATGTTTCCACTATTAACATGCAATTATGTACAATCTCAGGTGTATTAGTAAAATAAATTTAGATATAAAAAAGACGTGAATGAATGAATGCAAAGTGATTCCCTTTCTGAGAACATTATACATGCATATTATATATATACATATATTTACACATCCAATACATTTCGGATATCAATAACACATTTAAGCAGTCCAGCAATTCAATGAACATGGGAAATATATCAAAGATAATTTCTCAAGGCAATCAAAGAGCCTGTAAGAAGAGCTATATCTATTTTTTCCCAATGTAGCTCGAACGAAGAGAATACACCTCTCACAACGTAACGTACATAGCAAGACTCTACTTCACTTTCCATTATTCAGGTGTACTGCACACTAACCGTGACAAAAATCATTACATTATTGGAAACGATCATTACACCATAGACATAAGTGGAAAGAAATTTATAATAGAGTATAAATTGATAAAATGTAATAGTGACAACACTGTACAGGAGCATTGGATGTTTGAAATATTATATAACTTGAAATTAAATGTGACTGTAGATAAGAATAAACCTTTGACAATTTATAAGATTTCACATCATAGGAAAAACATGAACATAACTTACATTGCATAATTGTGATGGGAAATAGAAACGTATTCTCATGCTACTAAATAAAACGACAATAATCCTGTGAATCGAGATATTTGTTCCATCAAACGCCATTTTGTCAAACCATTTAATGAAGATTTCTCTCTGTCTTACTACCCCCTGTCATACTTCTCTTTGTATTACTCTCTGTCTTACTACAACGACCGTTGTATGCATGTCTCAAAGAGGTCTAGATTGTAGGTATACACCATTTGATCTTGATTAGGTTTAATACAACAATATTATTACGAGATCGAAATTACTACTTCCTCTCTCTTACTGCCTAAAGGATTTTGACATGAAATGCCACAAATATGACCATGATTATAGTTGAATACATGAATATTAAAACGAGATAGGGTAGACTCTCTCTAAATGCAGCAATGGCAGTTGCATGCATGTCACAAGATTTGACTTAATTCAATAGAAAATATTATCATGATTAGTTGAATACAAGAATATTTAAACGAGATAAGGTTACTAATCTCTCATATTACATTATTATATTACATTATATTACATTACACGACTGTAACAAACATGTCACTAGATGGTATGTATGCACGATCTGATCACTTGTCACAGTTTAACCATGTACATACTCTGCAAAATATAATCATACTTTATAACATTGTATTGTCGTCAAACTTATAATGTTCAAGAAGCACGACAGACTCTCAGGCTAACAACCATGAACAATACTTCAATGAAGTATTGGCCATACATGACAAGTAGTTCAAGATATAGAAATTGATAATGATTAATTTAAATTATGTCAACTTGAATCCAATGTGTATGGACGTTCTATTTCCATTTGACTGAAGAGCAAACCAAAACATAAAATATACTTCTAAAAAAAATATATAATATAATGATTATGACATATTTACACACATGTACGCATCCCACATGTTATCATGTTTTGGTACATCTTATCAAGAAATGAGAATGTTCACTTTTTGACTATAACGATAACATTTTGAGAGAAAAAAATACGTTTAATTCTTTAATGTCTAAAACAAGAATTTATTGGATAGGACATAAATAAGACTAAAGCTCGTCTTGATCGAGTATATTCATTCTACACACGGTATTTCCAACAATATTTCTTGATAATGAATGAATTGTCGGTTTAATAAACAGGGAAAAGTTTATATCAATTACTTTACCTGTAGTTCATGAAACAAATCCTGGTTCACCGGAAATTCTTACAGAATACAATATCACCGTGATGAATGATATATCAACAGATCCTTACGGATTAGATTCCTGATGACATTGTTATAATAGTACAATGCAACAGTATGTTATCCTCATTACATAATAGCCAATATGAGTACACAGAATCCGGTTGGAATTGTATTAAACAATCAATAGAGAGTTTAGATTTGTTCAAATTCGGTTCGGTCCATTTCATATTTCACATTTGACGTTCCACATTGTTAGTTTTATTTACCAGAAATGTAAAGATTGTACAGTACAATTTCTTTTTGGATTAAAAATAAGTTCACAATTATATCAAATCACTTTTATTTGTTTGAAGTTACTTGTAAATTAAGGACTTAAGGACTGAATTACAAAAGAGGAAATGAAGAAGCCTTAGGTAAAAAAAAAAACACAACTTGTACGTTGTAGCCTGTTTATCGTAGGCTCTAGGTTGTATTGCATAGATTGTTTTAACATTTTATGGTTATCCTATTGACACCTCCAGGATCCCCCTTTATAAGATGAAGTAAAATTCTAAGGGTTCACAAGCCGTCAAACTTTAATATCTTGAAGCTTCAAGTGTGATTGAAATAAGATTCTGGTTTAATATATGTAAACTGATGGTATACTAAGTACATGCACTTCTATCTAGAATTGATTAAATGCCATTAAATGACATCTAAATAAAAGACAAATAAATTGCTGCCCTTAGCCATTTGATATTTTAGTCGTCCAGTCGTTTTGATATATTATGATATGATATGTGCTTGCAGTAAGAACAAATGCTTTGCTTAACCTTAAAAATTCGCTCCGAAAATAAATCAACCTTCTTCAAATGCTTCAACATAATTATAAAGTTATTAATTAAAAGTATCAAGACAGGACATATTCAGTAATATGTTTATAATAATATCTTCCATGCATTTTAACTTTACATATCCTTCAATTAGTATCATTAGTTATTATTCGGGTAGCCCGGTTACCGCAACACTCGACAAGTTTCATTTTGAAGTCCGTAGTTGTCTGCTGCCATCATGTGGTCTGATAAGGGTGATCTTCCAACGTCCATACGTTGTTGCTTGACGGCCAACCCACAAATTAGAACCTCCGCTATGATTATGGGAACATAAGAATTCCAGAAACAATATATATATAATGATGGTTTTCTGAAAATAAGTACCTTTCAAATAAGCAATGAATCTTTGCAGTTGAATTTGAGAAAGGTAATTTCTAAATTATCTAATTAGATATTTATTTCATATGGTGTTTATTTATTCCATATACATCAAAATATTTGCATTTACAATCTTATAACTTTAGATGTATGATAATGACATGGTATATACAGAAAAAGGGTTAAGCATAAGCTTGAAGTGACGTCCTCTCAAAAATGAAAAACATATGCATACAATATGAAGCGATGCAGGAAAATTAGGTTAGGATGGAAGCAAGATTTAAACAAAAATAGCATGGATAGAAAAGGGACAGAAAGGAGCGGGGAGGAAGAGAAAGTTACATTTATGATATTATTGGGATGAGTACATATATATATCAATTCAAGTTGTGCATGTGTATATAACCACCTTTTGACAGCTATACTATTCATGACAATAGGGACATTCTTAAAATAAATTATAAGTCAACAATAATTTAAAAATAAGTTATGAATAAGCTTCCAGAGATTGAAATTCATGTAGGTCAGATATCTAACGAGTAAAACACAATATTTTAATATATAGTAACTATTTGTTTCGTGTACATCTAAATTCCAATCAGAAAGGCGATGGATTCATTTACGTGTCTGCATTCGAAGAAGAGAGAAACTGATGTAAAATGCTAGGATATCATTTAGTAAACCCAAAATTATATTTGAATTTAACTACTATTTGCAAGCAATTTGATATCGATAAATAATTTTGTTCAAAAAGGTACTACAAGTATTCAGGCAGGGAAGATTTTATTACAAATATGATGTCACTATCATGACCATGTAGCAGGCAGAGGAAGAGGAGACACATACGCTGTTGGTCATAATGGTGGAATAATTATTTTTACCCCAATTTATTGAATGATTTTGACAATGATTTATTCCTAATAGATCTAGATAATTGTATACATTCTCACATTTTATTGAATGACATTTTCAATAATTCATTGCATTTTCCCCCAGTTCCCAACAGGAAAAATTCCTCCTTTGGGTCATGCATTATGGTTCAAGGCATGCCCACATAGAAGATTTTGTTTATGTTGGGGGTCGGGGCAAAATGCAATGAATTATTGACAATTTATTGCATTTTCTTCGTTTTTTGTGTTTTTGTGAGGGCGTCGACGTACCCCTAGCGCCCGCTGCGTACAGTCATGATTCATTGGTTAAGCAATGGCCTAGTTACTGTGAGCCCACAGGATAAAAACCGTGTCGATGTGCTATATAAGTGCCCTTTTATGATGCATTAATCCCCATTACTGTCAGTTATGACTTAAGGACGTAGGTCCCCAAGTTGATTAGCATAGTAGCACACACATTCTTTAGCAGTCACGCAAAACAAACATTCCCCAATTGTCATTCAATAAAATCTGAGAATGTATACTATTATCTAGATCTATTTAATAGGAATAAATCATTGTCAAAATCATTCAATAAATTGGGGTGAAAATAATTATTCCACCATTATGACCAACAGTGTATATGCATATACCCCGTACCTATCACACATCTTAATGACACCATTTCTTCATGAAATTTTATTTGTTGTTGTTTTGATAACAGAATTAAGAATACACAGGCAGTTTGATTGAAACACATGTCCTGAAAAATGCAGTGTGATTCGTAGGAATTTCTTTCCAATATACACTCATATATTCAAACTCATGGGTATTGCTATATTTTAAGAAGCATGTTTTTATGTTTCTACATCTTGCCAAGGTGTTAAGTGTAGTTTATGTTTGCTAAGATAGAGCAGTGTAATTTGTTGGAATTTCTTTCCAATTTACACTCGTATATTCAACTTCATGGATATTGCAACATTTGAAGAAGCATGTGAAGATTGAAGAACCAACGGTTCTAAATAGAGTTTTTCTTGCTGAGATGCATACTACATGATCATTTGACACATTTCTATAAGTCGAGCAATAAATAAGATAAAGTATTTTTTTTCCTTTTTTTCATCAGATATGAAGGTGATATCGCTTATTAAAAGAAGAGGACGATGTACAATGAGCGTTTTTACCGTATACATCATGTACATGAAGGAATAGTACTTTTTCACTAAAAATGTTCATATAGTTGTGCAGAGTCTTTTTCTCGATATTTGTTATGTTTCAGTTTCCGGATATCATTACACAGATCTAGAACAAAACTATTGATATACGTGATCATATTAATCAGGCAAGAACAAACACATTAAAGACAGCTTAAATTATGTGCATTGTTTATTCTTGAGTATCGATTGGGCGGAGTTAAATATGGATAATAAAAAATAGCCTACTTTGAATCGATGAAATGCCAGAAAGAGGGAGAAGAATCTATCGAAGGATGGGCATGTAATATATTGTCATATCTTACCCCACTATTGCTTCACGGTGACAGTCAACTTGCCTTCACTGTTTACCTCAGAAATCAGTGGATCAAGATCCGCGTTAGTTCCACACGAATCCAAACTATATTAATAAAAGAGTACATTTTGGGGACACAATACATTATCTTCTGAACTAATCTGACGTACAATACTCTATTTAAAGGCCATCAGAGATGTATGCTTTATGGTGTAAGAACATATGACTATTTTAGTACACATCAGACCTTGCATAATTTTGCTCTGTATTTATATTGCATGACTACAAACCATGGTATCATAACTGTGAATATAGGATGCAGCAAGTCTTTGAACATCATGCTGAATGTAGAGGTGTTGTGTTCTAGTCGATAAGTCACCTGACTGCAGATCCCAAGGTACGGGGTTCAAGTCTCGCCGCGGCACTAATGACCTTTGGCAAGACGTTAATCTACATTTGCCAATCTCCACCCAGGTGATGGAAACGGGTAGGAAATAGGAATTTTCATCTCTCTAATGTTGTCTTTAAAAATGTTGTCATTGTGTTCACTATGATCAAAAACACCATTTTAAGAGCTAAAACCCTTTGAATTTAGTATTTAAATGCATAATGTCATGTAAGACAATAATAAATGTTTCATATTACGGAATATTAACTGCTTTGCCTTATTTGGTTTTTCACAAACTTATAGTTTGTTGTTTAAAGTATTACAAGCATTCCTAGTTGGGATACATTATTTTGCAATTTGTTTGGGTAAATTACTATTTTGACTGTACTTGAGTACAAAAAAGTAATTTTAGTAAAGATAAAGACAATTAATTAAGAGAGAAGGAATGAGGGAGAGAGAGAGAGAGAGAGAGAGGTAAAGAAAAGAAGAGAGAAAATAATCACAATAAAAAGGTAAGCCAAATGTGTCGTACCACAATGTGTTGAACATGTACATTTCTAAGATTTTGATTATAATGTGGCAATCATTACCCTGGTGAATCAAAATTAGACTCACTCTATGTTTGTCAGGTGTGGATGAGTCTTCATGAGTTGGATGATCTCAGCTGCCTTCTTGGTGTACAGGTTGATGCGGGTAATGGACAGCTTGGTGAGTCGGGGACATGATGTTTCAACCGCCTTGCAAAATGACACGGTATCATTCAGTGCAGTAGACGATGTACCAAGCCAATTTCCCTGAATGTGAAGTCGGGTTAGATGATGGAATGGACAGCAAGCCAATGTGATGATATCTGATGACTCGTTTTCGTGCTTTGACCAGTTCAGTTGGAGTTGTTTCACTCGGGGACATGATGTATGAAGTCCAAGATTCCACAGACTGGCCACAAGCCTACCATCCATAGATATCTCATCTACTGAGGTTATTTGACGAGTCTACATGAAACAGTGATACATAATGTCTCACTACATATGATTTCAATGGAAACCATCGCTAATGTTAGAAATTATATTAGAAAACCTGACTCATTACTGTTTTAATGTATTACTTTTACTGTTCATATCATGTTTAGTAAATAGTTCACAAATATACAATAATAAAACCTAAAGGGTTTTTGTCAGTTTAAAATAAGAGGAAATAAACAAACGAGTAGTTTTGTGGAAAACGGGACAAAGAATACAAAATTTGTAAACTTTTGGATGCCAAGATTTTAAATCATATAGAGAATCTTCCATTGACATTACAAATTATATTCGATGCCGTTCCGGATGAACTATAACCGATTTCTTTTTCCAAAATATTAAAAATACCTCTCTGTTTTCCATTTTAGTGATCCAGCAGATTATGTTCCATTAGGCCTAAACGTGTATTACTCTCCCCCCCCCCCCACCCTCTTTTAAAAAAAAGGGTTTGTATATCATAAGACTCTAAAAAAAAAAAAATTGAGGATTACCCCCTGTATGCCATAACATTTTTTATTATTTCTTCGCTTTTTCTGAGACCTCCGTTAAAATGTTTCTTTTTCGTCTGTTTTCACCAACATGACCAAAGCCAACTAACTATTAAACTAACGAGGATTAATCATCCTTTTTCAGTGGAAGATGACGGGATTGTAGTATTCATTATCATCTTTTTGATTGTGATATTCGTTCAGCCAGACTAAAAAAAAAAATTAAATGATTTCACATTACTGAAAGTTACACATTTGATGATGAAAAAATATGCAACAAAAATCTCTATAAGAAATAGCAAACGGCAATCATTCATCAATCGATATTTAACGAACTTAAACAAAATATGCATGTTTAAACTTCATTCCAAATTGAAAAAAATTATAACCGTGCATGTATAGATAATTGACATATAAAACCATCAGTAGATTGACCTAACAGCCCGTAGTATGCCGTCTTTACTTGTTTTTAAGACAAAATACATTATTCTTTTCGGCAATTTCTTTATCATTCGTATTAAGTCAGTCTAGTTTTTCTGAACCCCTTCCTTTTGAGATTGGAACAAAAAGAGGATTTTGACTTCGATCTTGGAATAGCAAAGATACATACCAGTGTCTCTTCATCGTCCATGTCAACTCGTTTGATATCCGTTAAGCTGAGTGACTGGAGGCGTGGTAGCGAGAGAATGGAGTGTAGTCGACATGGAGTTATGGAAATATCCCGCATAATCAGCGTCTGGATCTAGTGTGCAAAGACAATTTTCAGTTCACACCAAAGTGAAATTTGCGATGCGATCCAATTATTGTTTTTACTATCATAAACACCTTTTAAAATCACAGCTAATATCAGATGAATCTGCATCTCAGTAACTTTATCATTCACTAAGTCTGATTATTTTGTTTCTATTTATGCTTTAATAATTTAAATGAATCAACATATTATAATAAACAAAAAAGCATTTCAATATGCATGGCATGATGTATTTAAATAAAGGTACTTAAGGTATTGTATCTGTGGGATGACATTACATCAAAAGGATATCTTCAAGAGAGTATGTTATACTTTTCCCCCTTTGCTTTCAGTAGACTTATTTCATCTGTTTCCTTTAACGTGGATTAGTAAGCATTTTATTAGTTCTTTTAAATTCACTAAATACAACAGGACACTCGCATGAATACATATTGCTTCAGATATGTGATACATCTGTCAATGGGCAGGCACGCGAGTTGACATTGTGCCCCCCCCCCCCCACACACACACTCAGTGTTATTTAGGGTACGCGTATGCATGTTCCCAATTTTTGTGCAATAAGAGCAGAACTTTGTTGCATGAAAAGTACCCCTTTACCGGAGTGGGGGGGGGGGGGGGTGGGCATTGTGCGTGCCAAATTGTTGATATTAGGTATATTTTACAAGGAAATTGTGAGAACAGTCTTAGGCGAAAGTTGTTACCTGATAACTCGGTCATGTGGACTACGGCTAAAATCAGATAAAATCATTAAAGGTATTACAAAGTTTTGGTATGGGGTCATGAATTTGGTTCAAATTAACATATTGGAAGCATATGCGGTCCTACAATATTCAGTGATCGTTGTCGCGGTTGAAATCGAGTCTGAAGTTATGAAATTATAAATAATAAACTCTTTATGCTGTATAGCTCCCTCTTAAGGTCAAGATATTAATTTAGCTCTGAAACAATGTTTCTTGACTAAAATCGACCGATTAGTTATTCCCGTTTGGAAATTATATATCACAACTACATATTCTGAGATGTTCATGGTCGCAGCTACCATTGTAAGGCCATAGGCGCTATTTGAAATTTATCAAAATTTACCGGGAGCACCGGTAAATTTTTATATTCAACTTTTCTCGAAAACAGAAGTGTTTTAGGGGCTAATTTGTTTAGTGCTTATAATTCACCCACAGGGGCATCCAAATATATCAAAATTGTAAAGATTCACTATCCACTCAATTTTCAAAATTCCCAAAACCTTGTATTACCTTTAAGTTATCACATTAATTGGTTCCTAATGCGTTTTTAACGAAAAAAACATTATAATCCAAATATTCATGGTAACAGAAATTACTATGTACTGTAAAAAAACTATTAGTTGAGTAATACATTAGAAATATTTTGTATTTGATTACTGTTGCTAATTATTTTTTATAGATTAATTACCTTTATCTATAAATTGAAGAAATAAAGACTTGAGATATTGTTTTTAGTTATTCGTAGTAGGCCTATTAGAATCTAACATTTCTACAGGGGCTGGCATCAAGCATCCCACACGAAAGACATAGCTGGCTTGATTATATTTGTTGAGAAACTTTAATGACAAAATGCAGAACACAGAGCAGACATACAGACCTACTGAAAAGGCATTTTTTTTTGTTAATCCTTTTTTTCTTCTTTAGTTTTGTTCTTTGTTGTTATTGTTTCTGTTAAGGGTATTTTATATCTTTATTTATTTATTTATTTATTTTGTTTTATTTACCCAGGGTAACCCCATCAGTGATTAAAACACTGTTGTACTTGGGGGACCTGCAAATAGTACAAACAAAATTACAAACATATACATGAATTCAAAACAACAACAAATATTTGTTGTGCATGTGATATCTTATTGGGGCAATAAATAATCCAAGAAAAAACAACGCGGAATACTAAGCCTGTCTACATGATATGCGCTTAAAAACATGTGTTTATAGATGCATCTACAAGAATGTCATTATGACACTAATTATATTCACATGATAAATTTTCCCAGTTGTCAGCAAAGCCAAACTATTTATAATATTGATTTAAGAGTGCTCGTTACTGATGAAGATAAATTATTTCTTTTTTAGAAAGTGTGAAAATACAGTTACCCCATATGTTTAATTTGAAGAATGCAAAAAATATTTCGATACAAATCGTTTCCAATTGAAATCATGTTTGGGTATACCTTTGATTTTGATGCCTCAGTGACCATCGTTGAGTAGAACTCATCACTCAGCTTTACATCGTCTAGATACAGTGATCGAAGATTTGGCATGAAGCAGAGACCTCTCGCGTAGTGAGAGGATGCAGCAGAACCCAGATCTGCCGTATCGTGCTTTAGCTCCTCAATCTTGCGATGTGATATGACAGGTTGAATAGAGTGAATAGTTTTATCAAGTATATACGACATGTCTGATTTAAATATTCTTACTGCCATTAAAGTACCATTATTACCCTCTACTTAGAAATGTAAAGCAAGAGGAAAGACACAGAGAGATAGAGAGAAAAAGGCCCAAAGGGAAAAGGGTGTGGTAAGAAGAGACAGAAGGGATAAAGAAAGAGAAACGAATAATATCATTTATAGATGGTTGGAAAAGAGAGACCGTGTCTGTTCAAGCAAAATAAAAGTGTAATATCCGTCTATTTACAATACACATGTTAAATATATTTCCTGCGACTATTGACCAACTTAAAATAATTTCTAAATATAGAATGTAAACTACCATGTGTAGGATACGTGCTTTTAAAACACACTTTTATATGACTCTATATCATTATGACTCCAAAGTTCATTATATTCAGATGATTTGTTTCTATTTCAGCATAGCCAAACTATTTATAATATTGATAGCTAATGAAAATAAATAATTTCTTTTTAAAAAGTGTGAACAAACAGTTACCCCATATGTTGAATTTGAAGAATACAATATTATTTTCGAAACAAAATGTTCCCAATTGAAATCATGTTTGGGTATACCTTTGATTTTGATGCCTCAGTGGCCATCGTTGAGTAGAACTCATGTCTCAGCTTAACATCGTCCAGATCCAGTGATCGAAGATTTGGCATGAAGCAGAGACCTCTCGCGTAGTGAGAGGATGCGGCAGAACCCAGATCTGCCGTGTCGTGCTCTAGCTTCTCAATCTGGTGATGTGCCAAGACAGATTGAATAGAGTAAATAGTATTATCAAGTATAGACGACATTTATACTTTTAATATTTTCTATTGTGATTAATATAACATGATTAACCTCTACTTAGCCTTTTAGAGGAAAGGAAAGAGAAGGGAGAGAGAAGGGAAAGAGAAGGGGGAGAGAGAGAGAGAGACCTTGACAGAGACAGAGAAATATAAGGACAAAAAAGGCCCGAGGGCAACGGGTTTGGTTAGATAAAAGAATGACGAGATGAAGAAAGACAAACAAATGTGATTAATTATAGATAGTAAGAAGAGAGAGTCCGTGTCTGTTCAAGCATATGTTATTTTGTTTATTTACAATGCTATGTAAACTTAATTTCCGGGCAAACTATAACTTTTTATTTAATTCGACATTCTATTTATAGAATATGTACTTTTATACACGCTTTTTTTTAAAGGAATCTACATCATTTACCAAAGTTCATTCTATTCACATGATTTATTTCCTTTTCAACATGGCCAAACTAATAATCATATTGATTTGAGCGTGCTCGTAACTAATGAAAATAAATTATTCTTTTAAAAAGTGTAAAAATATAGTTACCCCATATTTATGTTGAATTTGAAGAATGCAAAAAAAATTCGAAACAAATCGTTTCCAATTGAAATCATGTTTGGGTATACCTTTGATTTTGATGCCTCAGTGGCCATCGTTGAGTAGAACTCATCACTCAGCTTCACATCGTACAGATCCAGTGACCGAAGATTCGGCATGAAGCAGAGACCTCTCGCGTAGTGAGAGGATGCAGCAGAACCCAGATCTGCGTTCCAGTGCTTTAGCTTCTCAATCTGGTGATGTGCCAAGACAGATTGAATAGAGTGAGTAGTATTATCAAGTATAGACGAAGGAACGACGAGACGAAGAATGACGAACAAATGTGATTAATTATAGATAGTAAGAAAAGAGAGACCGTGTCTCTTCAAGCAGAATTAAAATGTCATATCGGTATACTTACAATCGCATATAAATTGATTTCCGGGGACTATTGGCAAACTAATAGTTTTCTCTTTTTTTAAAGTCACATACTATTTATAGAATACGTACTTTTATACATGTTTTTTTATGAATCTATATCATTATGACACCAAAATTCATTCTATTCACATGATTTATTTCATTTTCAGCTTGGCCAAACTAATAATAATAATAATATGAGCGTGGTCGTAACTAATACAAATAAATGATTTCTTTTTTAAAAGTTTGAAAATACAGTGACCCCATATGTTTAATTTGAAGAATGCAAAAAAATTTTCGAAACAAATCGTTTCCAATTGAAATAATGTTCGGGTATACCTTTGATTTTTATGCCTCAGTTACCATCGTTGAGTAGAACTCATCACTCAGCTTTACATCGTACAGAACCAGTGATCACAGAATAAAAAGCTGTTATCTGTTTACCTACAGTTTTCATTTGATATCTAATTGAGACTTTTTGTTGTTGTTGATTTTATTTATACACCGTAAAAACACACTTTCAGCCCAAAAGGTTGTTTTACAGTATTTACAATACAAAACTAATTTCTTTTTAAAAATGCAATTTTGTTGTTATAGTATACGTGCTTTTAAAACACACTTTTATATGGATCTATTTCATTCTGCCACCAAAGTCCATTTTATTCACATGATTTATTTCCTTGTCAGCTCGGCCAAACGGTTAATTATATTGATACGAGAGCACTTGTGACTAATGAAAATAATCCACATGTTCAGTTTGAAGAATGCAAAACTATTGGGGAAAAACAAATTTTGTTGGGGTTTACCTTTGATTTTGATGCCTCAAAGGCCATCGTTGAGTAAAACTCATCACTCAGCTTCACACTGTACAGATCCAGTGATCGAATATTTGGCATGGAGCAGAGACCTCTCGCGTAATGAGAGGATGCTGTAGAACCCAGATCTGCGTCCCAGTGCTTTAGCTTCTCAATCTGGTGATGTGACATGATATGTTGAATAGAGTGAATAGTATTATCAAGTATAGACGACACGTCTGATATAATTATTCTTACCGTCATTAATGTAACATCATTAAAGGTAAAGACCAGTTTTGGAAACGCCCCCCCCCCCCTCTCAAAAAATGAAATGGAAGTTCTTAATACCAATCATGTGTGAAAAAATATGTTTTGACGTGATGATACAAATTTTCCCGAGAAACCGCCTACTAATTGATATATGTGCTAAATTATTATATCTATTTGGACCTGATAGATATCGCGCACGTGCCACGTAGTCCCATAAACATCTTTCTGTGTGCAGTGCTTGTAACTTTACCAAGACTGGGTCAAATTTCTTATCATTTTGATGATTCCAGAACCTAGCAGAGTGTTCAAGCAGAATACAAATGTTATATTTGTGTATTTACAATGAACATATAAACAAATTTCTTGAGACTATTGACAAAATGTTATAAATTTCTAAAAATTAAAATGCGAGCTACTATTAATAGGATGCGATTTTTTAAAACACACTTTCATATGAATATATATCTTTATCACACTTAAGTCCAGTCTTTTTACATTATTAATGCTTCTTCATGTCGGCGTGGTCAGAATATTATATTGATATGAGCGTGAATTTGACTCTTGACAATAAATGATTTCTAAAAAACCTTCGAAATACTATTTATATGATAAGTGCTTTTAAACATGCTTATAGATCCGAGAGGTAGTTCGTTGGCTTCTTATCTGGTGACGTGGCAGGACAAATTGAATAAAGTGAATATTGATATCAACATCTTTAATTGAAGTATTACTTATGTTCAGTTCTGTAACATCATGATGGTATGTCATCGATAAATATATACTACGACTATGATTGGCTTTCTTTTAGCTAGATTGAAAGAAACACACAGATTGAGTAAACCGAATATCTTGTAGAAGAATGGCGTGGTGTACAGGGAAAACTGATCATATATTCTAATTAATTTCCTTCAATAAAAAGGTTACTTATTGCACGCTATTTGAATTTTCTTTTACCTTTTTCAAAAAGATAGCTAAAACAATGTTCTTCCATTCAAGTATAACAACCCACACTATGAACATGATGGACAAAGAAAGAGGAAAAAATATACAGTTCCTCAGGTAAACAAAGGACCATTCTTTTACTGCTATTATGTAAAAATGTGTAGAACGGGTGTCACATTCATATTCACCAGCTAATGGAGATCTTTATATTTCAGCTGGAAATTCACTTTTTGGACCGTTATTTACATCGCCGCGGGTGGGGTAAAACTGTTTTACCTTCTCTCCCTTGTTGATTTAGTTACAGTTAGAGTTATATGATTCCGATATGATATTACTAGTTCAACGTGTTCAATAATGTAATAACCCTACTACAGCTGTAAATGATGGATAACTATGTTCAATCATCATCATAATTAAAGACCGACTTTCCAGTCTAACACAAGAACGGCGTCTCGCGTTATCTATTGGGCTTTATATACGTGTATTACAAGAGATGTAAATCCAGTTGCCCCTTCTCTTTATTTTTGAAGTTTGGCTTCACATCACCAGAAAATTTGTGAAAAAAATATTCAAAATTCAATAATTTGACTACCTTTAATAATTCCTAACTAAACAGAAAAGGCAATTCATTTTTTCTCGGTTAGAAATTCTCGGTGGATGGGGGGGGGGGGGGACTTCCCCCTCGCCTTCTTAAAGGCCCGGTCACACAGAGGGGACGCATGGGGAACGCACGGCCAGCGCATTGGAAATTTGCAATTTTGGCCAGTGCGTTGTCGTGCGCCCAACTTTTGTCGTAGCTACAGCGAGCTGACACCAAATGCATAGCGTGTTGCTAGCGCGGTGAGCGCATACAGGGCGCATACAGTGCGCACACAGACCGTAATCAGAGCGCACATGGTAACAACTTCCACAAATGCACAGCGTGTTGCTAGCGCGCTGGACGAATGGTCCACGCATGCACCGCGTTCTACGACGCACGGCACGCGCATTGCAAATCGGAAAAGGCCGTGTGCCTAAGTTTTGTCATAATTTTGGAAAAGCTAGCGAGCTGACACAAAAAGCACAGCGTGTAGCTAGCGCGCTGTGCGCATACAGGGCGTGTGCTCCGCGTATGTCTGGCGCTGGTCTAGCGCGCTCCACGCATGTCTGGCGTGCCTTTGGCGTGTACACTCATGCGTCCAGCTCCGCGCACACTTTTGAGCATGCTCAAAAAATCCCTACGCACACAGCGAATGACGACGAATGCATAGCGTGGGTCCAGCGCACTCGACGAACGAGTAACGAATGATGACGCACGCCTAGCGAACGACAACACACTGGCCCAAAATTCAAATTTCCAATGCGCTGGCCGTGCGCCCCCATGCGTCCCCTCTGTGTGACCGGGCCTTTACATATACATTCGCTAGCGCAAAGACGCTACTTAAAGATAAAGGAGAGTTCTGGTAATGCGATTGCATTGTGAAAGAAAAGGTGTGGAATGGATCAGAAACAGTTGATCATGTAGCATGTAAGTATTGGTGTGCACTGCAAGGTTCTGGAGTAATCAAAATCATAATACATTTTGCCGAGTCTTGGTAAAGTAACAAGCACTGTTCACAGAAAGCTATATATGGGACAACACACGTGGTGTCGGGGCTAGTACTACCTTGATTTCCTTGTCTTTCTAAGCTCATTACTCGGCCAGTATACATTTTCTTCCAAAATTGTTTGGCACATGTCATTTGTTTGAAATCTTGAACATTCAGTGTAAGTTTGATTCTGTGAGAATTAATTTTTTTTTTTTTTAACCAGAACTGGAGTTTATCTTTAATATGCAATTTTACTCGAATGATTGGTCTCTTGTAGACACTGGCGTACTGGTGTGGTGGGGGATCGGCGCTGCTTCCCCTGTACGTGTATACAATGTTTAGGCGGAGACGTGCATTCCTCCGAAATCGATTTGAATACCTATTTGGTAAATAATGCTGACTATCGCCATGAGAGAGGAGAGAAGGTGAGAATATTGAGGTCAGACTTTGAATAATTATCCTTGTGGTCAAAACTTCAAAAGTGTCCTTAATGCACAGTTCCAAATTAGAAGGGGGGGCAGATGGTATTATCCCCTACACACACCCCCCCTCCCCCCTCTCTTTCTCTCTCTCTCTCTCTTGCCCTCTCTATCCCTGCGGCAATAGGCCAGTTTGCGGGATGTTGGTCTCGTCCGGTAAATATATAAAAGACAACTCTTTTAGGTTCAGTGTGCAGGTCACACCGGATTCCCCAAATGAAGATCACTCCCAGACTTGGGACTGGGACGGGGGGGGGAGATCTGCACTTTCCCTTCCAAAAGCGTTTTGAGAAAAAAAGGAGAGAAAAAGAAGAAGTATAAAGGAGAAAGAAAAAGACATAATTTCTACGCTTTTTGGGATTAACCCCTGCAACTTTCTTTGATAATGAAACGCCTGGTACTATGACGCAACTATATATACCGTCAAACCATTATCCAGCTACTTTGCAAGTCCTATTTTGTAATGTACAGGGGATCTAGAAAGTGTTTCCTGAAACATGTAAATGGCTGAATTTTCTTGGTAAATCTCCTCCCCTAGCTACGTCTTCTGACTGTAAGTCTTTGCTTTCAATTATCAACATTTCCTTAAAAGAAAAGGCGAGCTCCTCTCATACCCCACCAAGCCTCCTTTACTATAGGTTTATACAATATCATGATTTTTCTTTCTAAACTGAGGGAAGATGGGTGAAAATATTACTGCAAAAGAGATGCGGCAATTCCGGATAGACTACGGGACATATCCACAAGAAGTTTTTGTAAGTGATCTCCCTACCTATAAATAATTATTTAAAAAACCCATTAAAATGTGAATTATATGTATAATGAATAATGAGTTAAAGTACTTCAAAACAATGTGACACACTATTCAGATTCTGAGATCGTTTAGAATGCAAAGTTTTACTATTGATATGCTTTCTCGCATAATAATTTGTCTTTAAAATTACATGATTAGAGAGAAATGAGTCTCCTTCCCCGAAAGTGGAAGGTCGCCCAAAGTAAATGATATTTATCACCGCCTATCCAATATGAATAGAGAAGAAAAAAAGGTGCCATATTAAGTCCCGACCTAAATATATCTGTAGTTCAAAATTTTGACAGCATTTTGAAAAATAAAATATGTAATTAACCCATGGAGTTGCTATACTATGAAATGTTAATGTAATAGAATAGCTGCATAGACTTCTAATTTCAGGAAAGGGCGGACGTAACCCCCCTCCCCCCCCACACACACACACACCTCCCCGCCAACCAACGGATTGATACCGGAGCCGTTTCTGGCTTGGCTACCTCAAAATGTTTGGCTCATTACGCCACTGAGCGTATGTGTGTATCAACAATCGCGGCAGGAGAATCGTAAAAGTGTAGGGGCTCACTGGCGGCAAGGAAAAGCATCAAGGAAACATTTTCCCATCCCGAATGGAAAATGACCTGCGTCATATACTGTGTGAAGTGCAAATATAATCTTCTATCCCTTTGACTGGGGGTCAGATTTTTTCTTGATGTCCCAGGCGCCGCCACGTAGAGACAAAAAGAAAAATACAGAGTAAGATAGATATCAATGATAAGTTAAAAAGAGAAGGTGGGTGGAGCTAATGGAAGAGGAGAGCAAGACCCTTTTAACAAGCCTTTCATGATGCTTACACTTCTCACCTTTGTGAAAAGAATTGACCGAAATCATGAGTGTAAATAACTAAATTTTGTTGATGAATTTAACATTTTTTTCTTAACCTTATTAAGCAACACATATCATGCATCGATTAAGAAATAATGATAATTATGATTTAGGATTTATCAACGTTAATATAATAATAAAAAACCATGGACTGTGGAGCTGCAGCAGACATTCCTGTGTAGAATTTGTCATCCAGACGCTCGGTATGAATGGTCAACTCTCGTAAGTTCTGCAATGTGAAGAGTCCTACTGCTGCTGCTACATCAGACGATGATGCGTTAGCTTCGAAGGACTCGCTGACACCCAATGTTTCACGAATCGAGGTACTTCTTCTTACCTGTACAACAAATTAATTATAGCATTCGATCTTTAAATAATAATTTCAATAATTATAATCAAACATACCATGATAATGGTTTAATTTGTGTAAAAATATCTTATAGTATGCATTCGTTTGTAAAAGGAAAAAAGAAATACCAAGTTATTTTCTTGATGTCTTCACCATTAGGCTATATTCTGATAGCATGTATTACTTAAATAGCATGGACACAAACACACACATTCTTATCATCACGAATTATGGAAGGTTATATGAAGAGGACAAATCAGATTTAGACGTATCGTTTGTTTTAGTTATCTGTAATAAGTATACTTGAAAAGTGAATAGCTATTAAGGTAGTTATCGAGGGCATGTTGAATATAGAATGACCTATATTTTCTATAATTCGTCTGGTTGGCTCAGCTTTTTCTCTTTGTTTAATCCTGAAAGAGCCGTACATTATTACTCTCTTCCTTTCTTAGTAAGTCCTTTAAATGTATAAGGAAGAAGCAAACGGTGACATGATTCTTGTTCTCATGTGAGACTGTTTACACATTGGAATACAGCCCACTATAGTACGTAAATAATAACAACATGGCAGTTCTAAATGATTTTGGGTCAGAAGGCCGGAAAAAATAACAGACGGTATAATGTGTAGTTGTCCTTTTGTTTGTAGCCAAATCTGCATATGCAATTTACAAACGCTCAACTGATGACAGTATTCCCTCACTATAATAAAATTTACAATTAGATGAATAAAAATGAGGCACGTCTATAATTCTATTCACGAAACTTACTACTTCCTTCCCTAATGGTTCCATTGTGAAGAGAAATGCGGCGATTGAAAGAATAGAAGGTAACGTAAGATCTATCTCCGTCTTCAACAGGTTCCTGACGGGTTCAATGGCTTCTGAATCGTGACATTCAAATGCACACTGGATGATGAACCCAATGTCATCGACTTCATTGCATAGAGCTTCAAGGACCGACTTTCCTACTTCACCTCCATGAGCTGCAGTGAAGTACAAGACATACCTGAATTCCTTGTAGTCTTCTAAAAGGGTGTCTGCCAGGATTCTGTTGAATTCTAGACGATCTTCGTGGAACAGCGATGCAAGGTAGAAACTCGCTATGTACTCCTGCAGTAACTTATGAGGGAAAGAAAATTCTTGGATGAATTGCTTTCGCTGAATTTCTCTGATTTGCACGGGTGCTGACCTTATTTCCTTGCTAAGAATCCCGACCTCGCATGCAGTCATTGCAGCCTCTGTGCATGAGTCGAGCGCCTTTTCATCGAAGATGAGCTGTTTAACCAACAGCCCTTGAAATGCGATACAACCAATATCTTTCATACTTTCACTAGCTTTCTTCATGCGCCTTTCATAGCCCTCTTCTAATCCATTTGATTTGGAAAAATATTGCTCTTGAAGTGAAAAGACGAGACGCTTCAAGAGTTGGGAGAATGTTTCCATTGTCTGAGTATTTTCCCGTTCACTTGGCGTTTTCCACAGGCTACATAGCATACTGCAGAATATCGGGAAGGGTGCCATGTACTCAGAAACCACTTGGTTTGTATCAATGAAGTTAATGAGGGACGAAGCAGAATCAGAATCATCTTTGAAATAGTTTTTGATATATGTTGCCATGCTGTCCTTTGTGAAGCCCTTAACCTTACCAAACGTGTAATGGTCATTAATCGTCATGATGCTCTTGATCTGATCAGCTCCAAAAGGACGGGTTGTGATGACGACTGGAGTATCAATGAATCGCTCTCCTCTTACGATCGATACGATAGCGTCATTGCGTTTTGGCTTTTTGATGTTGATTTGTGCCTCGTCCAGTCCGTCCAATAAGATAAGGACCTTTCTCTGATTTTTCCTGATATATTCATCAACCCATTCCCCCTTTACTTCTGAATCATCTGGGAAATGGCCCATGACAGTATCCCCAAAGAATGCGCTCTCTGTGATCTCTCGAAATGATTCAAGAAAAAGCAGATTGATATCTTGAAGAACTTTACCCTCAGCCCAATCAAGAGCTATCTTAAATAATAAATAAATAATAATATTGCTTATATAGCGCTTAATACGTCGGGAATGTACGATTTCCCTACACCAGCTTCTCCAATAAATGCTAATCGTGTTACAAAACCTTTCGGTGTGTCAGTTTTGATGAATTTAAACAACTCGTCATACTCTATTGGCTCCTCGTTTTCCCCTTCAAATCCTAACATCAGGACGAGACTGACATAGATGTGCTGAAGCCATGTTCGTGACTGAGGGTCCACAGGCGATGTTTTGATCTGACCAAATTTTCTGCGATATCTACTTTTCAGTTGTTCTCTTAACTTCATTATGTCACTTGGCATTGCATTATCGTCACCTGAGGAAAAAGAGAAGAGCATTATTTAAAAATAATAATGTAAGTAAGAAAATTAGATACCAACTTGGTTCAAAATCACTGCCGAGGAAGTTGAAAAAGTATTGTTGTTTCTGTTTAAAAAGGTTCTGCTGATAATGAGTATTCGGCAAAGGATAAACCCGGCATACGGACGCGGATCCGTGCATTTGAACCCCCTCCCATTAAAATTAATGACATGAAATTTGCAGTGGTTATGCCGGGCTGTCTTCGGCAGCCGTAGTTTTTGCTTTTTTTCAGTCGGGAGGGATTCCTCCCTTGGTTTATCTATTCTAGGTGGATATGCCACTGGCTTAGATTTATATGCGTATAAACCGATGAAACGCTATCAGATAAGTTAAAGTTAATGATCGTAAGACTTGGCTTTTCAAGGCGCAATTTCTCTGACGGGTAAATTGAACCTGTGGATCACATGACGCTATTGAAAATAAAGTCTTCCAGGCAATTTCTATGTAGTTATCACGTGTTATTTGATTTGATTTTGATTTATTGGTTTCTGCATCTTTTTTTTTCTTTTTTCATCATACATTTTCATGAACATAATATGGTTTGATACAATATTTTAAGTGTATATAATTTTATACAGATAATGAACGAATTTAAACAAATATATTGAATGCATAATTAACATACATTAGATGCAGGAGGGCTACAGAAATAAGCGAAGTAGCTTGACGTGCCCGCAGCCCTCAACTTAGATACAACAACAATAACAAATACAAATAGAAAAGACTGACTTGCAGAGAAGAAAAGGAAAGGGGAGAGAAGGAGCGTTGGTAATAACACAATAAATCTCGTACATCTGCTGATTAAATGCAGGTTCATTCATAAAATGGCTAAACGATGTTATGTACCATGATGAATGCTGCCACAACGCAACATTTTGAGGGAAACTAAAATATCTTGCCACAATTTAATTTTAACTATTTTCCAGTGGTATGAAAGAAATTTTAAGTGTTTTATCGAAATATAATAGATCTTTCAGAAAAATACTGAATCACTGATGAACGTGATCTATAATATTTAATTCTGTGTAACATCTTATTTCACGTGTATAAGATTGCCACACTGTAATATCTTGTTAACCCCTATTACGTGATTCTCTGTGTATTACATTTTCAACATCAAGTATTTCAGGGAAAGAAAAACAATTTCGTATCATTTTATAAATAGGATGAAATTACAGCAGAAAAATGAACTTTAATGACACGTGAAAGGAATTTAGCTCTAATGTTTATTACGTGTAACAATTTCTTTCACATGTTCTAGTATAATATATATGTGCATAAGATTACCATGCTGTAATATCATGTTAACCCCTATTTCATGATTCTCTGTGTATTAAATTGTCAACAACAAGTATATCAGCGAAAGAAAACATTTTTCGTATCATTTCATAAATAGTATGAAAATGACAGCACAGAATTAAACTTTTTGAACAATTTAGTTCATGTTCTCGTAATTATGTGTGCATAAGATTTTCTCTTCAACATACATGTATCAGGGGATACCAATGCAACACTTCTTGAAGTAATTTATAATGGAAACTGCTTCGGGGTGTGAATATACGATGTAGTTTGTAGAGGAAAATTTTACTCAAACTAAGGACGTGGTTTTCATATACGAGAAGTAATCAAGTTGCTTTATAAGTAATTTCATATACAATATCATTTATATAGGGAAGCTTACCGCTGCAGCTGCTTGTGAAACATGTCTCTTCCACCTCTAGTAAATCCACCTTTTTGAGAGCTGCTCTGAGAGTTTGAAATTGATTGGATGGTTTGACCGTCTTTGCCCAGTTCTGAAGCATCATCACGTTGCCATTACTTGTCTTTCTTCCTCCAGCCCAATTCGTCTCCAATGCCCTATTGATATTAGATGTCTGGACTCCCAACTCAAGACCAAGTCTCCTTAAATCACTATCTTCTGATATGGCGTCTGCTACTTTGATGATGACGTCATCGAATCCATTTGTTTGACTCGATGTTTGACAACTAGAATATAAGAAGCATACACTGTAAAAACCAGGGTGTAGAAATTCTTACACCAGTATGGTATTGATGATAGTTTTTCCCAGTATTTCCCCGTTTTCGTCAAAATTTGCTTTCCGGCATTTCCCGTCCCGGTATTTATCGGCCAACCCTGAAAATGGAATCCATTCTAAATCTTTCGCAAAAATTCTAAGAAATCATGATGATAGCATGTTAATACGTAAAACCTGTGGCAAACGTATATACCTCTATTCCACTGTAATGACGGTCGAGGATTGTGAAAATGGGTCGCATACACAAAACTGTCAACTGTTTTTGTTTTCTAATGTTCTGCTTACATCTTCATACATCCCAATAAACAAAATCACGTGAAAATCACGTCAATATCAAGGCATCGACTTGAGGAGAGTTACGTTCTTCAAACACCTGACATTTACGTAAATGTGTTAATACGTTTATTGCACTAGGTAACTTAAAACACACCTACACTAAATCACGCAATTGTCACTGCAATATCACCATTGTAATAACGTGATTATCCCTACCTTGGAGACCATGGTTTGTAAACCTAATACTCCCGTGTTTGTTTGGTTATGAAATTACATCTTCATAAACGAAATTATCGCGTCACAGAAACACGTGAAGCGTTAGTGATAGTTTTAGTCAAAATATCTGCGTGAAATTCACGTGAATATTACGAGGCTGACTTGAGATGAATCATGTTCTTCATTCACGTGAAATGTACGTCGAAGAGGAAGTATGTTACTGTAACCCGCGTTCAACCCAATAATTGCGCAAATGTTACACAATAAATGAACCAAAATAATGACGTTCTCATCCCGTTTCTGAACATCATGTCTTGGATCTTCCATAATTACGTCCAGGCGCGCCGGAAGCAGTTTGGGATTACAGGGAGTTGGGGGGGGGGTGCAAACATCCCAGAAGAGAAAGCTTGTTGCAACTGGTCCAGTTGATGAACCAGTTAATGCCAACTGGTAACCCTGGAAATTGAAATGGGCTAAATGATCCAGTTGATCCAGGCCAGTTATAATTCAACTGGTCTAGCTGAGCCAAGAACCATTTGGTAAAACTTCCAACCAGTTGAACAGCAACAATACTTCAATACCGGTACGTCTGTATTTCCAATGCAAAGGCATTGGCAATAAGTAGACTTACATAATTAAATTTATCGAAAGTTTTTCGTATACTTGTACTTTATTGAAATTATTTAGTTCATAGTTAATGTTTCCCTTATTCATGTTTAACTAAATGTAATTTATACGAAGTAGCGTAATGTCCTAATAACTGATAATTTATATTCGTAGTATTTTCGAAATGAATTGCATATAACTAAATCATCAGTAATTAAGAAATATGCTGTAAATTCAGATAAATTGTTTAAAAAACATAGATCTGCACGCACCCCATATTCAATATGCAAATTAATTGGTGTCAGCTGGTTCAACTCGAAATATGCCAACAGTCACGGGATTATCACCACGGAACTTAAATGGTAACTGTGAAACCACCAAGACACCCAAGAATAACTCATTTTCACACCTGAAAAACACGGAATACCCAGCTTATTTTAATAATCCGTTTGAGTCATGAGATCATCACCGCGGAACTGCTGGCAACGTTGACTACCATTTAAATAGGTGTTTTAAGACACCTAATAATTACTAATTTTTCAGACCTAAAAGTCACGTATGCCCAGCTTAGATTAATAATCCGTTTGAGTCACGAGATCATCACCGCGGAACTGCTGGCAACGTTGACTACCATTTAAATAGGTGTTTTAAGACACCTAATAATTACTAATTTTTCACACCTAAATATCACGGATTCACAGCTTAGATTAGTAATCAGTTTTAACTACGTGATCATCACCAGGAAAGTTATGGTAACTTTGAAACCATTTAAAAAGGTGTTTTAAGGCACCTAATAATTACTAATTTTTCACACCTAAAAGTCACGTATGCCCAGCTTTAATTAATAATCCATTTGAGTCACGAGATCATCACCGCGGAACTTATGGCAACTTTAACTACCATTTAAAAAGGTGTTTTAAAACACTTAATAATTAATAATTTCCACACCTACATATCACGTATTCACAGCTTAGATTAGTAATCAGCTTGAGCCACGTGATCATAACCAAGAAATTTATGGTAACTTTGAAACCATTTAAAGAGGTGTGTAAGACACCTCACAATTACTAATTTAATATAACCAGAGATTCACGGACAGAACAATAAGACGATTAGCCGGTGTAAGTAACGTGATTATTACCATCAACCTTGGATAACCTGTGGAACCAATCGATAAAGGTGCTTACAAGACCAAATAATTACGTATTTATCGCCACCATCGGTAAACGGACAAAAACTCGTTGCTTGGTCAAGTGGTTATTTGGTCATAAACACTTGATTTACAGAGGTAAATGGAATCACGTTACTCCAGTCGCGTGATAAACTGGTGGTTTTTAGGTTAGATGAAAACGTGAACAGGAGTACCTTTTTCGTTTAAATGAAGGCACGTGTCGATAACGTTTAAATCTAGTTCAAAAGGCACTATACTTTAAAATCACTTAATTACACTCCCAAAAGAGGTTACTTTTTAGTGTTCTGTTTATTGGGATGTACATGTATTTAATGATGTAGAAAAAAGAGCCATGTACTGTCTGGTTTTTAAAATACAGTGCGTCCCAGAAATAGAAAAACCACACATCAAACGTTTATTGTGAACGTATCATTTGGATGTGTGAATATAATTCCTTAATTATCATAACGTAGAAGTAATATCCTTTCAAATGATGATTTGTTTAAATTGATCCACAGACACATTTTAATATAACTCGAGGAGTATTATACCAAACGTTATCATCTAAAAAATTTTTTTTTCTCTATTTATCCTCTTTTGAGGGACTTTATTTGTTCATATCATAAAATAACAGCTTTTTACAACAATTTGTATATACAGAATTTATGTAAATGTAACATACATAAAATATGGTACAAAACATGAAACTAATGTGACATAAGCACTAACTAAAATATTGAAAATATGTTGTTTTTTTTACTTCGTTTGTATCGAATTTCTACCTTTAAATCTTTCATCAAATATACTGCATGTATCCTGTGCTTTTCACTTTTAAAACATTCTATAATATAGTTTATATAGATAATAAAGTGAGCAAAGTTTAAAAAAAGATTGACAAGATGATTTCTCTTTTCTCTATGTCATAACCTATTAAAATAATTTTGTCGTTAAAAAAATTGTATTAGATTAAACAAAGCATCAATTAATTTGGATACAATCTTCCAAAAAAGCGCAACCTTCTAACAAGCCAGGAGAAGGTGGTTAGTTATATCTAGGATCTCAAAGATATCGCATAGATTATTATTTTTAATCGTCCATTTACATAAATTCTCTTTACTGGTTAATATTCTATGAATGAATTAAAAATTAAACTGCTTAATTCTGTTTTCATTTATAAAGTAAAAATTATAATGAAGCACCGTCTTCTAGTCAAATTCATTATGTAAATCAAAATAAGCGTTCCAATTTTTTTTCTTCTTTCTAACATAACATTATAATAGTGTTTGGCTCTCATGCCCGCTACATCAATGGAGTCGCCTGTTACCATTCACTTTCGGAAATGCACTGTTTAACTTTGGCAATTTGAAGGCGGAAAGTAATTCATTTTCTTGAAAATTAATACTGGAATCAACTTCTTTCCAGATACTGATTACTAAGACTTGTTTAACTTTGAGAATATTGTTTCTTATCCATGCAATAACTCATTCATATTTTTAATATCGCTATTATACCAAATCATTTCATTTTTAATATGTGTTACTTTTTCTACAAATACGATACATATCACAACTTAATGTAAGTTTCCTTATTTTCTATCAATCCAAGGTATTCTTTATTTTCTCTACTTAAAGCCTCGGTCACAAATGCCATTACGAACTGCTACGAATGCCGTACGAACGATTTTCAGACAATGGAAATTCGGGAAGACAATGGAAAAACAGGGAGATTCGTACGAAATTATCGTTCGTACGAACCTTTGTGACCGTAGCCTTACTTTCCTAGTTTAAATTTTGAACGTCAAAAAAAGATGTACCTACATAATATACCAAGACATTTTATAGGGTCTTCGGTAACATATAAATCTTCAACTTCATCGTCATTTATATGAAGTTTCATAAGATTTGATTTGGTCCAGTTAATATTTGGTGCCGCATGTTCTCCAAACATTTCTACTTCTTATATTATTTCTTTAAAAATTGAACAGAATTAGTAATATTCGTCGTATCGTCTGCATACTGAACGATACGTATATCTTTAAAATCACATTTGTCGTCATTGAAGTATGGGACTTGGATTCCCTCTATTTTTGGCGTTTTGTTTAATTTTAATAGCTTAAACCTCTGCAATGATTATAAATAAAAGAGGAAAAAGTGGGCAGCCTTGCCTATTAAACGCCTCTTTCTATTTCGAATTACTCAGATATCCAGCCAAAATTTAAAACACCACCATGAGCACCATTATATAAAGTTTGAATCCATCTTAAGAACGAATCTTTAAATTTAAGCTCCCGTAACAAGGACAATAAAAAGATCATGACTAACAGTATCGAACGCTTTTTTGAAATCCAAGAACATCATAACAACTGGTTTGTTTGCAAAAAGACAATAATCAATGGTATCCTGAATAAGTCTGGTACATTCAGAGGCAGAGCGGTTTTTGTAACAACCAGCCTGATCCTGAGATACAAGTTTGTAGATTACTTTCTGTGATCTAATTGAAAGAATACGAGCTGCACGTTTATAAGCAATGTTTAAAGGTACTATGTCCCATTTTCGTACGTTTTATGCTGCGCAAAGATTCAATCAGTTTAATTTTGGCCATTACAAGAAGTGGGTTATTGATGTAGACAATTGCTCATGTACCCTTTACAGCTCATTTTATGTATATTATTACCAAAGATGAAAAATGCCAGCCAGTCACTTAATAGTGTCTGATAGTGAAGTCTAGCAAGTGAACGGGTTTCCTTGCATAATTTGAATATTAGGACTCTGCTAACGTTTAAATTTCACAGATCGGACATACATGACATATTCATAATTCCTGCAAAGTTTTACAGAATTTGATGTTGGCTTCAAAAGAGACATAGTATCTTTAACAGCGAAATAGGTAGCCAATTATCTAAAACATTTGTGTTACCTTTCTTATATAATAAAGTAAGAATAGCTTGACTTTGTGTGCAAGACAACTGTTTGTTGTCGTAACCCTCCTCATTCAGACTGTCAATTACCATTTGTTTGATACCCCCCCCCCAGAAACATTTATACAATTCAACACTGAGTCCATCGCCTCCAGGTGATTTGTTCACCTTCACTAACTTCAATGCTTCCCAGCATTCATTCTCTGTAATTTTTCCCTCACATAAATTTACATCTTCTTCATTCAAAACATTTAAGTTGAAATATTCAGTATTAACCTTACGAATAATGCGTGTAACATTTTCTTTAAACACTTCATCTTTCGGGATAGAATTATTCAGTTTCCAACAACCATTTCCCCTACTTTGTGCTAATATTTTAATTGTTATGGATACCCCGTTATGATCACACTTAAACACTGGTTTTATGTCGATTGAATAAATATTTGAAAAGCGCTCTCTCGACATGAGCCAATAATCTAGTCTTGAATAAATGTTTACTGGCAGCTGCCTCCACGTAAACTGTTTCCTCTTTGTGAACATTTTCCTCCACACATCTACTAAGTTATTATTTTTTTCTGAAATTTAACAATATTCTGTTTTGGTAAGTATGCATTTGAGACTCCACTTGTGTCTACTTTTTTTTATGTTTTGTACACAATTCCAGTCTCCACCTGCGATTAAAACTTCATTTTGTATTCTAATCTTTTTCACCCATATACATAAAAATGAATAGAAATGTTCCTTCAGTTAATTTTTTGCTGGAGCATACACATTTAAACATAAATACATTTGATCTTGATACGAAAACCTTAGTGCAATAGCCCTACCATCACTTTTGAAATGTTTGTCGATGACATTAAAAGGAGGACTTTCCCTGACTAAAATTGCTACACCTTTGGAATGGTTTGTACCATGATCAAACAAGCAAAGTCCTTCCATTCTTTTGATACAATATTTTACAATATATAAGTCTCGTGCAAAAATGCTATGTCACACTTTTGGCGATGGAGCCAATAGAATATAATTATTTTCTTTCGCTTCAGCACTTTACGTTTCCTTCGCATATTTAACGTCATAAAGAGAACATTGTTATCATTCTTATTTTGTTTACAGTTTCACAGTTGCTTTGTCCTTCGTTTATGTTTGCTTCAATATTAATGTTCAGACTTTTGTAGTCACATTATACTGGTTTTAATTTCTTTCTTTTTTATGTAAATTTCTTCTTTCGTTTCAGAGGCATTCTTCCTTTAGTGGTCGAAGTTTTCGAAGGAGACTCAGGTGATAGAGATGAGTCATCCTCACCACTTTCGCTTTGTTGATCCTCGAGGTCGCTGAAACTCAAAGCCATCCAATATTATATAATTACTCAGTCATTGGCATTCTGTAACCAGTGCAGATTTAACAGGTATACATGTATCACAGTTGACTTAAGCTTAACATATCTGTACCTTGCACTTGGTCTGTCATCCCCCAGAGGTTCGGTCATCTCCTCGGTTCTTTTACAAAGCCTCTTTCTCATCGTGATGGGATCCAGGCTGAGAAGAAATGTCAACATATAAATATAAATACTTATATAATGAATAATCACAAACATTGGGTCCATCGTATGACGGTTCAAAGTGTGCCTTGTGCATATTAGTCCTAAGAATTGAGCGGTTCACTATGTTATAGATGTTTCTTTTCTGGGGACTTAGTGATGAGTTATTCCTGTAACCAGTTATTAATTAATGAACTACAATACTTAGAATCATGTCTGCTTAAATTACGTGTTGCTATGTCGGGCCAGCTTTGGACAAGATATCAGGTAGTCAAGAACAATCTTTGTTTACAAAGTATAAATAACATTTGAAGAATAAACTGGTCTATTCCGGACAAATTTAATTTCCAAAGACTTTTTAACTCTCACTGCGCAGCTTGCATACACTTGACAAACAAACGATGTCGTTTCAAACACACATTGCTTCACCAAGAAAAACGTTTATGGTGGTCAATTAATATCACTGTCTAGAGCATGAGTCAAGTATGCTAGATATTTATGAGAAACTTGCAAATTATTTACATGATCATGGACAATAGTAAACGAATGAGGAATGATTCTTGTTTGGGAAATTAGAGGTATCTGGTTCAAATCCCGGATAAGCCTCCATAAAGGCGATAAGGGTTTAATGATTTTAGTGATCATTTATCATCTCAGGCTGATATTTGCAAGGCTAAATTCTACTTGACCGACAATGTCGGTACTGTGTGCCATGTTTCCTGCAATTCCTTATGTTTTTATTTGTTGTGTTGCTCTTTTGCACTGTCAGTCTATATACTGGGATGACACATTTTACCAAGGATATTTATGCGCATGTAAAAAATTGAACGTGCTTTTTCATATATGTCTATAATAATAATAATAATAATAATAGTGGGTTCTTGTTTAGCGCTCAGGTCAGTCAGATTTGACCCTCCTGGCGCTCCCGAATATTACCCTGACTTTAGCATGGCTGCCATACGGCGCTCTAGCCTTTCAAGGAACAAATTCCTACCAGGTACCCATTTACTTCACCTGGGTGGATTGTGGCAAATGTAGATCAATGTCTTATCAAAGGACATTAGTGCGGGGGCGGGAAATGAAGTACCTTATATGCAATCTACTCGGTCGACTGGTCAGAAATATATACGTCAAGGATGATGTAATAATTTGATGAAATTTTGGAAATACTACTGCACTACTCTATTATTCCAAGTCGTCAACATAATCGTTGAATTTTGAAAAAGCTCAGTTTCCATGCATATCAGAATCTTTATTAAAGCATATTAACAGAAGAAAAGAAATCACAAATAGGAAACCAAGCCAAACGGTTTTGTAATTAATTATAAATACTCTCGCTGAAAATACGTCTACAAAGACCGAAACAAATTGCTTTTAGGGAGCTTGTGATCTTCCATATCACATGAAAACCAAATACCTTACACTTGTTAAGTTATATAAAAAAATTGTATCACTCTCTCATTAATGATAAGTTTTATTGAAATTAACTATGAGAGTTAGTCAGGATCAGGGTTTCTTAAAGATTGTATGTCATTTCATGACGATTCGCTTTTATTTTATTTGGGTGACTATTGCTTTGATCAAGGGAAATTAAAAGGTAATGATAAATTATTGGGAGGGGGAGGTACAACTAGCTAGTGCCTCCCCACCCCTCTTTCCCTCCTTCAACACAAATGACATACCTTAGGTACACAATCACCAAAAATAGGATGTCCCTATTAAACTCAATTAAATAGAGAAGAATGTCCAGTCACATAGAATGTTACTATAGAGAAAAGTATGTTAAAGTCCGTAGTCTATTTAAGAACTGAGACTCCCAAGGTCTTGCGCAAGGTGAACAAAAAGGAAAATTAAAATTCTAACGAAAAACCTGTGAAGGGATAATCAGATTTTGCTGACATTTAGCAGACTAATTACGCCATGCATGCTCTTAAATTTCAGAGGAATCAATGCATTAGCTTACTCAGGTTTAAATTGACTGGAGATCAAAATGAGACCAGTAGCAATGGTCGTAAATTATTCACAACTACTGAAACACACTTAAAATTACAAAAAAATATTGGTCTACAAAATACTGTCTAAATACAACTTTTAATTCGACTCGTCTAATATTTTCAAAGCTCGAGCAATACATTTTTGTATCACACGTAAGGCCATCTAATATTATATAATTACTCAGTCATTGGCATTCTATGACCAGTGCAGATTTAAAAGGTATACATGTATCACAGTGGGCTTAAGCTTAAAATATCTGTACCTTGCACTTGGCCTGTCATCCCTCGGGGGTTCAGTCATCTCTTCGGTTCTTTTAAAAAGCCCCTTTCTCATCGTGATGGGATCCAGGCTGAGAAGAAATGTCAAAATATAAATAGAGATACTTGTATAATAAATAATCACAAACATGGGGTCCACCGTATGACGGTTCAAAGTGTGCCTTGGGCATACGTCCTAAGAAATGACCGGTTTACTATGTTATACATGTAGATGTTTCTTCTCCGGGGACCTAGTGATGAGTTATTACTGTGACCAGTTATTAATTAATGAATTACAATACTTAGAATCAAGTCTGCTTAAATTACGTGTTGCTATGTCGGGCCAGCTTTGGACAAGATATCAGGTAGTCAAGAACAATCTTTGTTTACAAAGTATGCATAACATTTGAATACGTTAGTAAACTGGTCTATTCCGGACAAATTTAATTTTCAAAGACTTTTTAACTCTCACTGCGCAGCTTGCATACACTTGACAAACAAACGAGGTCGTTTCAAACACACATTGCTTCACTAAGAAAAACGTTTATGGTGGTCAATTAATATCACTGTCTAGAGCATGGGTCAAGTATGCTAGATATTTATGAGAAAGTTGCAAATTATTTACATGATCATGGACGATGGTAAACGAATGAGGAATGATTCTTGTTTGGGAAATTAGAGGTATCTGGTTCAAATCCCTATAGGCCTCGATAATTAAGGCGATAGGGATGTAATGATTTTAGTGATCATTTATCACTGAATTTTAACACTTACAATTATGTTTTACACGTATATATAATATTTATATATATATATATATATGTATATATATATATATATATATAAACACAATTATATACAGTCATATATGTGCCACGATTTTTCTTTATTAATTATATCCGTTTCACCAAAATGTGTGCATGCGTACACAATCAGCATAATCATCATAAAAAAAGGAAATTTTTAATATGGTTATCTACAACTATAGACGTTGAGAGAAATTTACATTTTGTACAGGATTTTTTTCTAATTATAGCATTAAACAATGGTAAACAATAATGAAAAGAAACAGAAAGGGTTAAGTGGAAACTCATCTATATTTTACAAATAACTTTCATTCGTAAAACTGATTCTTGGTATCATTAGAAAACGCCATACGTTCCTATAAAATTTGCACACAACATTGCTTGTGTTTGGATTGACACATTTTACCAAAGATATTTATGCGCATGTATATGAATTGAACGTGCTTTTTCATAAATGTGTATAGATATGAAGTACCTTATATGCACTCATCTATATTTTACAAATAACTTTCATTCGTAAAACTGATTCTTGGTATCATTAGAAAACGCCATACGTTCCTATAAAATTTGCACACAACATTGCTTGTGTTTGGATTGACACATTTTACCAAAGATATTTATGCGCATGTATATGAATTGGACGTGCTTTTTCATAAATGTGTATAGATATGAAGTACCTTATATGCACTTTTCTCGGCCGACTTGTCAGAAATATACACCACGAGGATGATGTAAACTAATTCTTTGATGCATTTTTGGAAATACTACTGCATTACTATAATTTTATTGTTGCAATTCGTCAACATAATCATACAAAATACTCTAGCTTTCAATGGATATCAAAATATTTATTGAAGTGTATTAACAAAAGAAATAAATATAATCCACAAGTATGAAAACAAGCCAAACAGTTCTTGATTAATTGTAAATACTCTCGCTAAAAACAAGTTTACATAGACCGAATTAAATTGCTTTTAGGGAGCTTGTGATCTTCCATATCACATGAAAACCAAATACCTTACACTTGTTAAGTTATATACAAAATTGTATCACTCTCCCATTAATGATGAGTTTTATTGAAATTAATTATGAGAGTTTATTAGTCAGGATCAGGGTTTCTTAAAGATTGTATGTCATTTCATGACGATTCGCTTTTATTTTATTTGGGTGACTATTGCTTTGATCAAGGGAAATTAAAAGGTAATGATAAATTATTGGGAGGGGGAGGTACAACTAGCTAGTGCCTCCCCACCCCTCTCTCCCTCCTTCAACACAAATGACATACCTTAAGTACACAATCACCCACAATAGGATGTCCCTACCTAAATGAAAAAGAGAAGAATGTCCAGTCACATAGAAATGTTACTAAAGAGAAAAGGGTGTTTTAAGTCTGCAGTCTATTTAAGCACTGAGACTCCCAAGGTCTTGCGCAAGGTGAACAAATGAAAATTAAACTTCTATAGAAATATCTGTAAAGGGATAATCAGATTATGCAAACATTTAGCAGACTAATTACGCCATCCATGCTCTCAATCTGTTTTAGGAATCAATGCACTAGCTTAAATAGGTCTAAATAGATTGGAGATCAAAATGAGACCAGTATAGCAATGGTCGTAAATCATTCACAACTACTACAATAAACACAAAATCACACACAAATCATTAGTCTACAAAATACTGCCTAAATATCACTTTTGAATTTTGTTATGCTTCAAAGATTTTGAAATCACATAGAAAAAAGGTATACTTTTTAAAGGAAATTCTAATTCAAATTTCTTAATTTGTAGTACTTTGTATGTGTGCAAAGTAGTAACTGGTTAAAATTAAACTAAACGACATAAAGAAAGCTTGCTGAAATAAAGTGTGTTCTCTTTGGGTTTTTTTAATTCGAGACTCTCTGACTGTCTCATGTACAGGACAATGC